TATATATATATATATATATATATATATATATATATATATATATATATATATATATATATATATATATATATATATATATATATATGATATTGGATCCATCACTTCATATAAAACAAATTAAAGGCTTTAATTTGAATTGTTCTGTATTGTGTGTGTTATTGCTAATATAGTTATTGAAGTTGTTTTTATAGTTAATTATTTTACATGAAAAGAATGACACTGTCAATGCTGCAAAGTTGAAATTTATTCCTCCTTTCCTTTTAAATTAACACTTTAATGCCATATTGTGTGTGTATGTATTTGCCAAATATATGGTACAACATTTTTTTTCATAATAGTCATAAATAAAATTTGGGCTTGAATAATTGGAATAATATTATACTAAATATTATAATAATGTTTTTTTTTTTGTAAGAAAAATATAATAATAGTTGATGTTTTGAATTAAATTATTCATTTTGTGAAATTCCAGGTTCCACAAAGCCCTGAAGCAAAAGATTTGAGAAGTAGAGGTCTATGCCTTGTTCCCATTTCATGCACCGAAAATATCGGAAACGACAACGGCGCCGATTATTGGCCCCCGTCACCCATTGGAGGTGGGTTTTGATTTTCCGGCACCAAATTCCGGCGGGTACTTATATAATATTATATTATATTATATTGTAACATGCATCAGAAGCAGTCATTCTATAAGTTTAAGAATGACTGTCTCTGATGCTATATATATATAACCTATGTCACATTGTCACTATATATTCCTTCAAGGGCTCAAGAAATTAATTAAGACAATTATTGTTAAGGGGCTTGTTGGTAATTTATGACACAAATAATTTCCTAATTATAATTGCATGGCAGCATGGAATGATTATTATTTTATCAAAATGTTTGAAATACATACTTTAATATTTTTATTTTCTAACATTTAAAAAATTAACGTGTAGTCGTACTACTGTTGAACCCGATTATATTTCATGCATGTTACAACATCCGAACTATTGAAACTCGATTCACGTTATTTAATATTGTTCGTTTGGATATATAGGCTTGTATATATCGTGTAGATAGGGGTGTTAATCGAGTTGAGACTGGCATGCATAATTAAGATTGTCCAAACTTATTTGAATACGTGCATCGAATTATGCTAGAGTTTGATTTGATTATCAATCGAGTTGAGCTCAAATTGTAGAAGTTGTGATACTTCTTTCATAATTTTGTAGAGCCTCGTTTGATTGTCGAGATAGAGTAAGTTTATGATGACTTAATGTATAAATGAAATATGAAATAAGGTTTAAATATTATTCGACGAATGAGGGCTAATTTTACCAATCAAATGAGGCATATGGATATTAGTTTTGTCCAGGATAAAGGCTAATCGTAATTCCAATTCCGTAAATGAATGGCCTAAGTTCGTCACGCGAATTTTGCAGCATGTCAAAAATTTCTGATGAAAAACAATAACAAACTCCTATCGTTAAGAAATATTGCAGTGGTAATTGGATATGAAAAAAATATGAGTTATATAATTAAAATATTAAAAAAAAAAAAAAACAAATGTAATTCAATAATTGACATACTTGTAGAGTGCTTTTCACTTATGATTATCACATAATTGAATTATTGATCCAAAAAAATATTATTGTGGGTATTTATTATTTACATTGGAGGAAATTAACTAGAGTTTGTAGATTCATTCTTTTTATGAAAAAGGAAAAAGTCAGTATTTATTTATATTGGAGAAAAAAAAATAAGCAACAGAAATAAATATATTATGCTTTCATTGAGAGTTGAACTCAAGACCTCCCGCTTACTAAACAGGTGCTCTAACCAACTGAGCTATGAAAGCTTGGCGAAAATCAATTTTTTATTTATTTAAATATATTATGTAGTCTAAGTACACCTTTTTTTCCCTCTTATTATGATTGAATGAATGTGTTCAATTTAATTTAATAAAATTCGAGTTTAAATGAATAGATCAATTTTGCATAAACCCTCATTTTATTGTAGAGACATGCACAAAATCTCCTAACTACTACAAAAAAATTGCATGAATATCCCTTCATTTAACAACATTAATTATTATTGGAATATATAGGGTATTTTGTGCAGTATGAAATGAAACATAAGAGGTTTAACGCAATAAAATTAACACATGATATTTGATACATGTTTTCCTTAACACAATTAAATTATAAATTAGAAATGATGTCGTAATTAGACGTAACTTAGAGGGAGGGCGATAATTTAATCAAAAAACAAATGTGAGAATAAAAATGTCATTTTATTGAATATTTAAGATGCTACATCCAGTGAAATAGCTTCCCACTAAACACACATATATATGGGTGTGTGTCTCTGACTATATATGTGCTAATCAACCGGTAATAATCACCAAATGTAGCATCAAATAAACGAATGTTTAACTGAAACCAAAAATCAAAGCAAACTTATATAATCCTCCAAACACTAAAAGGGTATAATTGTATATAATTAGCCAAAAGGATCTAATTATAATATAATAATTACACCTAACCTCTAATAAGTTAGATATAAGTAGCCTTCCAAGCACCATCAATAAAACGAAATCCTCGCCCCAAGGCCTCCATTCCTTGGTCCGACAAGTATTTGATGGAGGAATATAAATTTATAGTGACTCAGCGATTCGTTAGAGTAGTGGACCGGAAACTGATGCCCATAAGAAATCAACCATCATTGAAGTTGAAAATCCCACACTGCGGCTGTCAGGATTCGATCCTAGAACCTTACACCAACTTTCCGTCTTCGAAACCATTCGAAACCAGTTGAGCTATACTCATGTGGTCTAGTAGCCTTTGATAAGTCAATGGGACTGAGTTGGGGAAATCTGTTTTTGTCCACAAATCCTTGTGAAGTTGGTCTACTTAGCGTCTCATAAATGAACGTGCCTAATTAGTTGGGTGACAAAATATCTTAGGTAAAAATCCTTCTCAAGTTGGCCTATAATTTTTTTTTTTTATAAAATTTCTTTGATTCAAAAAAAATTGGCCTATAAAATTGAATGTGCATTAGACGAAACTCGGACAATTTTAATTTCTGGCAGAAAGATTTTATTTCCCCAAGTGGGATGATGCATGTGAAAGCTTTTGAAGATGTTGTGCCTAATGTTATCAAGGCCGTTGAAGTAGCTCGAAACCGTAGCGTTCCGATTATTTGGGTACCCTTTTCGATTCCCTTTACTTAGCTCCCATATATGTTCTTTAACTATATATGACTCCTCAATGATATAAGCTATACAATTAAACCCATATTAATTTATACAATCGGGACTAACAAAATTCTATTAATTTAGCGAAATATTAAATTATCGAGCTAATAATTTAGTAGGTTTTTACCGAGTCGGGACTATAAAAAACTATTATTTAAGCGAAGTTATAAATTTATTGAATATTAATTTAATAATTTATCGAGGTTCTACTGTATATATAAATCTTCATAAATTAATAAATGTTTTGTAGGTTGTACGTGAGCACGACCCTTTGGGGAGGGACGTTGAATTATTCCGAAGGCACTTGTATGGTTCTGCTGACAAACCAAAGCCCGTTTCTAAGGGTACCGTGGGTGCAGAATTGGTCGATGGGCTATTTATCGAAGAGGGAGATTATAAATTGGTTAAAACGAGATTTAGTTCGTTTTTTAACACGCACCTCCATTCGTATCTTCAAGGTCTTGGAGTTAATAAGTTGATCATCACTGGTAATATATATATATATGATTTATGTTAATGTATATTTTATATCATATATATTAAATTTTTAAATATATTAATTTTTGTTAACTTATTATTTAGGTGTTCAAACTCCGAATTGTATCCGACAAACGGCCTTCGATGCAGTTGCTTTGGATTATGAAACGGTTACGGTTATCGTTGATGCCACTGCTGCTGCCACACCTGATATACATATAGGTGACATTCTATTTTTAATTACTCTTGACTGTGTGACGAACTTGATTGCAAAAGATTAATTAAGGTGAAAAGGATGTATACACACTACACTTAAACATGTATAAGCAATACAGTCGGGACTAGGAGAATTTTATTAATTTACTGGAATATTAAATTATCAAATTAATAATTTAGTATGTATTATAGGGCCGCGGCCCTGGTTTTTCCTAAAACAACCTAGTATAAAAAAACAATCGAGCAATACCGTGTAGCGTTCGTCGTTATCTCTAGTCATAAATTAAATACTATTTTGATTAATGTCTTGTTCTTATGTGCCTTCTTTCGTTCGTCTTGCAGCAAATATTATCGACATGAAAAATATTGGAGTGGCGACACCGACACTAGAAGAATGGTGCAATTAATTAATTAATTCGTTTCGTAAACGAATTAATTTACCGAGTTTTTTTGTAAAATTAAATAAGTTGGTCTTTTAGTCCATAGCATGTCAGGGTACAGACTAATTGGTTTGTACTTATAATTTTACTTGTTTTGTAATGTGATATTATTACACCTTTGATAAGGTTTTCACAGAGTTGTAATGTGTTGTTGTTATGAAATGGTTCTTACTGAAAGATGAGGGAAAAAAATAAATTATTTTTTTTCCTTTGTTTAAATTCATTTCTTTAATAAAAATAAAAAACAAATGATATACATGCAGCTGAAAAACATTCGCTGACATTAAAATTAAAATCAATTAAAGTTGTGCTTTCATTGAGAGTTGAACTCAAGACCTCCCGCTTACTAAACGGGTGCTCTAACCAACTGAGCTATGAAAGCTCAACGATATTTGGTTCTTTTTTATATAATATTATTTATACATAAGTAAATAAAAATTCTGAAAAGGCCCATAATTAATTCCACCATCTAGCTGGATTTTTGGATTATCAATAAAAGGAACCGGAAAAAAATAAATAAAAAAATAGCATCTTCACACTTCACAGTAAGCTTTTTTACTTGCAAAAATGGCAGCAGCAGCAGCAGCAGCTGAGTTGAAGTGGAAAAACACTGCCCTTCTTGTAATTGATATGCAGGTACTTAAACCCTTTTCTTTATTTTATTTTTCTCCATTTTACTTTGTTCATCGATCTTCTATTTTCTTTTGATTTACATTATTATTATCATTTTTATTTTTATTTTTTGGCAGAAAGATTTCATTTTGCCAGGTGGGCCGATGCATGTGAGAGGCGGCGAATCAATTGTGGCTAATGTTATTAAGGCTGTCCAAGTATCTCGAAACCGTACAATTCCTATTATTTGGGTACCCCTTTTTCTATTCTTGCTCAACTCACCACCGAATCTTGAAAAGAAGTAATTTTTACTGATAAATCCTATAGAAAATAGAACCCACCAGAAATAAAACAGCAAATTCTACGAAATTTTGTATTTATCCATTAAGATTTTGCTGCAAATTCACTAATCTTGAATTCCTATCTAAATTGAAGTAAAAGTTAATATACATATGTTTTGATGTTATAGAGTATGTGATTATCATGTATAATCAAAGCATAATCGGGCCTTCTACGAATTTACGAAGCTTGATTTTCGTTTTCTTGATGAAGTTTAGTGAGAGAAAAAAAACCCTTAATTTAGTAATGTAGAACTTTTTTTTTAGTTGCCTTTGAAGTTTTGAGCTTGCGATGAATAATTATATACGATTGTGAGTGTGAGAAAAGAAGTTGGTTTCGTAGGTTGTTCGAGAGCATGATCCGTTTGGGAGGGATGTTGAATTATTCCGACGGCATTTGTACGATTCTGCTGAAAAACCAAAGCCCACTTCTAAGGGCACCGTCGGTGCGGAATTGGTCGACGGGCTAGTGATTGAAGAAGGGGACTATAAATTGGTGAAAACGAGATTTAGTGCATTTTTTAACACGCACCTCAATTCGTATCTTCATTGTGCTGGAGTTACTAACTTAGTCATCATTGGTAAATATGACTTTCGATTTTTTTTTTGTTGGAGATTATTATGTCTTAGATTTTAGATTATATGAGTTTATTGCATTTTAGTACCCTTGTATCATACGAAATTGCTAAAGAACTCCTCGTACTATAAATATTAGCAAACAGCCCCCTATGATGCATCTTTTCAGCCGGGGGTAGTTTGCTGATAAAATTGAATCACGGGGGTAATTTTGCTAATATTTATAGTGTGGGGAGTTTTTTGGCAATTGGAGTAAACACAAGGGGGCTACATGCAATAAACCCGTGTGTGTATATTATTGTTATGTATGAGTTGAGGTTTAATAAATTTTGTTACCCTTATTAATTAGGTGTTCAAACTCCGAATTGCATTCGACAGACTGTCTTTGATGCGGTTGCTTTGGATTATAAGACGGTTACTGTTATTGTTGATGCTACTGCTGCTGCCACACCTGATATACATATCGGTACTAAAGAATATTTCCCTATATAACTTTTGGTTATGATTATTGTGACTCGTAATTCGTGGATTCTTCGAATTTGGGAGTATGGTGATCGGCTAGGTTATTAAATTGCGTATTTTCTAGGGCTCCATTGCAATAAGATTTCAGCACATGTAATAAGAAACTAATAAATATACATGGATCTTAGGGAGCCAAAAACATATGATGATATTTACTAAAATGACATTCTTACTTATTTGCTCTCCGTTGATTATTTCATTTGTTCGTGAGAATTAAATCGTCACTTTGCTAGATTGTTACTAATAATCCCTTTCTATTTTCATCTTGCAGCAAATGTTGTTGACATGACGAACATTGGAGTGGCAACTCCGACGATGCAAGAATGGTGCGACATCTGAAAACTAATTAATATATATAATTATATTGTACATCACGAAAAGTCGGCTACTTCTCGATTTGTTGGGAAGACGAACAATGATATGTGCTAAGTGCTATTGTGTTATCTATAGCAGGTAGATTGTGTTAGGGTGTTGCAGGATAGATTTGTGAATTTTTTTTTTTCTGGTTTTTTTGTTCTATTGGATACATAATTTCTTGTTAAAGAGTAGTTGTATGTATATCAGTATATGTATTTATTTATTCATATTATAGATTTAAAAAAAAAAAGAAAAAAAAAACAATTTATTGCTTTCATGGAGAGTGAAACTCAAGACCTCCCGCTTACTAAACGGGTGCTCTAACCAACTGAGCTATGAAAGCTTGATATTGTTTCATATTTTATTCATTACATAAATTAATATGTTAGTTTTATGCACAACCAGAAAAACAAAGAGCAAATTCCATTTTCATTTCATAAATTATCAATATTTTTCTAATTGAAAATTTCTTCAAATATACAGGATTTTTGTTTTCAAAATTAATTAAGTATTAATTCCACGAACTGATAATATTTAATTTTCTCTATAAAAAAAGAGTATATCTAATTTTGCAATTAAAAATTATTGGAAAGAATAATTGTTCCGCAAATATGATTGTAAAAGGATTTTTAGAAATTGATTTCTTGGCTTGAAGTTTATGAGTATTTGTATGAAGTAAAACTTATTCTGTATTTTTTATTATGTTATATATATAATAAAAGCAAAATCCGTTTTTTTTTTTCTTTTCAAAAGGTACTTATGTTCATGTTTTTTAAAATATCTCTAAAAGTGGCAGCTAAAACAAATACCAAAAGTTTTTCAGTTTAATACATATTAATTGAAGACCATATACCGATATACGTGTATATCAACTGCATATGTACACACATCCCAATGCATATGTATATGATTGTGCGTAAATCAACGGTGAAAAACTATATGATGTATTTTTACCGGGTGTAACATTTACAAGTCCCACAATTAACGTACTATACATCAATACACTCTAAATGGAAATAATTTAATGTGTGGAGGTGGGGGGGTTATGGTTCAACAGTTGATACAGTCGACGTATGTGAAGAAACTGTGTAACCGACTGAATACAAAAGTATACAACTAATATGTAAATAAAATAATGTATCACGAAAACGGGACAGAGAAAAAGTCGTTGATACGCTATCATGAAGCAGTGCCGATAGATGAACTTAGTATTTGGATCTGCAAATATACGCAGAAATTCAAATTCAATACCCGAGATAAATGAGACTGTCACAAATCTTGATCAAGATTTACCTTATTGACAAGCAAGTTTACTTGCTCTCTGTACATCTCTTTCACATCAATAATATCCGCTCGGAGTTCTTCCAACTACATAAAACGTCCAAGTTTAAATCACTTCAAATTTCTCTCAACTGCTATGCTTATTCATAAACCATGGGATGTAACTATAAACTGTGTAATGTGTATCGAACTAATTCCTTATGTAAAATCAATTTTAAAATTAAAAGGTCACTTTCGGGCAATACCATAAACCGGAAAAAAAAAAATAAAAAAAAAAAAAAAAATGAGATACCTCTTCATCACGTTCCCCCATCAACTCCAGGGCAGCTGAGTGTCTTCGTCTAAGTGCTTCTAATTCCGCTCGTATTCCAGGTAGTGAAGCAGCTTCTGTCTGTAACTTTTCACACTGCACCATGTATAGTCGATCGATAGATAAATCAAAACCATCATCGAGGTTGAGAGCAATTATGAGTGTTGTGTTCTCTCTTAAGTGTGTAATTAGGAGTGATAAGGATATTAATTTTCTCAATTAACACTATATCTCATTGAACAAAAGGTATATTATGAAGTTTCCCCGTTTCACAAATAACGCAACTAGCGAGTAAAGACTATAGCTCACCTGTGCAGTCATTTTAACCAACTCCTCAGCAAGAGAATCACGAATGGTTTCCAAAGAAGCCTGACGAGGATAAAAGCTACTGTTACAAGAAGGATATTGAAGAACTAGCACTTACACACGAATTAACAAAAGAGTGATCCCGTGAATTGCATAAATAAACACTTAGGCCTCGTTTGGTTGCTACGATAAGATTAAATAATCTCCCAATTAGTTGAGATTAGAGCGAATTTTTCCATAACTGGGGACCGGTCCGAAACGAACCAAACATCCAACAAGGTCCAATTATTTAATTAATCATGGCTAAATGTTAATCTTACCAACCAAACGAGGCCTAACAGTTCAGTATATGAGAGTTAATTTTGTACCAATCGAGAAGTGTAAGAAGCAAGCACTCCCTCCTTTTGACGAAGTGCAGCTTCAAAAGTACTTGAAGTCATGCTCTTAATGTAATATGGATTCATGGGACTATCTCCTGCAGTTCTATGTTCGGAAAAATTATCGGACGAGCCTAAAGTTGATTGCAGAAAATAGCTTTCTTCCATACTGCTCAAGCTGCTTGCACTTGATATCTTACGAGTCAAGTTACCTGCTAAATTAGATTGTTAAAATCGCAATAGTGGATCAAATATTAAAGTTAGTAGGATATGGTTAATGAAAATACCATTTTCAAATGCAGCTGACTTTTGCCTTGATATGGGGCTTTGATCAGGTATAGCAGAAGATTGAATGCGCGAAGCCCTTTCCTGATCCAAACGGGCTGTTTTTTCTCGATCTAGTTCCTGGTGATGTATAACGATCTTATTCAGTAAGCTAAGTATAATTTGAAATAACGATCACAAGGAAATACAAGCAACAACTGTATATCGTATCAAACATTTATTTAGCCCTATAAGGCAGAGCAGGCACTGAATACGAGTTGTGGCATATTTCACAAAGAACATTATAAACTAAATATGCTATCTGTTTTTTTTTTTTTATAATTATGTTTTTAAAATCTAAATATGCTACCTGTTGAAGAAGCTCTTGGTGTACCAAAGCATCATGCATCTCCTCCTTGTGCTTTCTCCTGAGTTCCCTCATTTCATCTCCAAGCTGACTCACACGACTTTCATGAGTATCAGCTTTCTCCTTCAAAGCAAGATATTCCTGCCTATTTTCTGATGCCCTATGTCTCTCCTTTTCAAGAGATCTCGATAGCTGTGTCTGCTCCGCTCTAAGGCATGATATCTGTAAAAATTATCCTAGCATAAGCTAATCGTCAAAATAAACATTAGCTCAATAACTCGAACCACGTAATACTCGGAAAAAAAACCTGTGCTTCAAGAACATTTATTCGAGATAGTGTTTGAGTTAAACGCTCATTGACAGAATGCTCCTTTTCTTCTGCAGCTGCAGCTTTAGCCTCTGCTTCCTGCACGTTAAATCAAAACTAAATTTAAATATCTCAAAATATATAACAAGCAGATTGTATATGTTAATATGGAAACCTGTAGCCGTGAGTTTAGAGATCTCTCAACAGCAGCCCAAGCTTCAGCCCTTCTGGCAGCTGATTCCTGACATTAATAATTGAAGTTATCAATAGTTAGAGCAGCGAATCACCTATACAAGATTTTTTGATTACACAGTGAAAAACCTGCATCGCCTCTATCTGCCTTAAAAGTGGTCTGGTAGATTCAGGAACTTGAGTTATTAGCTCCTCGCACCTACGTTCACTTGCCTAGGAACAAAGTAATTCTACATCAGATAACAAACATCCAATTATTTTTACAAACGAAACAAGGCAATGCATAAAAAAAGCCACACTTACTTGATATCGCTTTTGTAGATCCTCAATGTCCTTGCGAAGCATATCTTCTCTAGAAACTGCCTGCAGCAGAATGAAAATAATTGTTAGGGTAGAAAGTAATAAATGCATTAGTAAACTTTATCCTTCACAGAAAATAACCTGCTGCTCCTTTCTGCTCAGAGTTTGTCTTAATTCTTCAAGTGTCTGAACGAGCATACTTTCCCTTTCCTCAGCCTCTCTTAGAAGACTTTCCAGTTCAGTCCTTGCTTCAGTGTTTGCTCGTGCTTCTGCTAATGCTTCAGCTTCTTTTGCTATGTTCAGAGCATTTGTGTAGTATTCTTTTTGAGTTGCAATTTCAGCTTGGTGTTTTTCTACAGTTTCTTGCAGTAACTCTTCAGTCACTGTCTTGTCTCTTTTGATGTTCTCTACTTTATTCTCTTCAATCTGGAAATGACACATCAAAAACATGCCGTTTACAATAAGAATCATATACACGCCAATCATGGGAAACAGTAAAAAAACCAAAAGAAAAGAGGGAAAAAAAAAAGGGATAGTTAGAAATGTTCATAAATTATGATCAAGTTAAAAGTTAAAACTCTTTGCCTGATAAATCAAATACAGAAGAAAATTTACCTGTAGCTTTGTAAGCAATCCTTTCTTCTCTTCCTCAAACTCTCTGATCTAGCTTTCAGGAAAAGAAAATATTAAAATGGATAATAGGCCTGACTCGTGTTAAATTTTAGCATAAAGAATGCTATTCACAAAGATAAGAAACTGATCCTACATATGCAGACCTGTGCCCTCAACTTTCTAATCTGAGATTCCTGAGCAGCTTGTTTTTTTGAGAGCTCTTCACCTGGAGATTATCACAAGCATAAATATAATTCAATGCCTGTAATAATCTGAAGAAAAAAAATACTAAAACATGCATATAAATGAGGTCAAACTTAAAAATATATGTATATATTAAAAAAAAAAGTTTCTCTTCGGTTTTCAAATCTTAGCTCAAACATAGTTTGAATACAGAATCATGTGGCAGGAGAAGCACGCTGTTTCGACAAATAAAAGCCACTTAATCAAGGTAAGAGTATTGCCAATATTCTCAACGAACGACCCACAGTGTTTTTAACCAACTCTTTCCTATATCAATTATGAGAATGCTTAATGAAGCATAAATTTTGGGGCTCAAAATCAAGAATAGAGTTTAGGCCTATATCTAATCTACCACATATATTAACCGCAGAACTATTTTTCTCCAATTAACAAAAGCTATCTTGTCCATCAATTTCCAGATATGCTAATCAACCCGTCCAATTCTGGTCTCTCTTGATTACTTTGTTTTACTTCTTTTGCCCCAAAATATTTCCTAGATAACATTGTGTCTATAAAGATAACTCATTCTACACTTCATGTAACGGGGGAAGATTTTTAACCCAGTATAAATTACTGGTGGATACAACAGTCTCACACCTTCAGCCATCACTTGAGTGATTATTTCATCCTTTTCCTTCAGAAGAGCTGCAGCATCACTTTTCTTATTCTGTTCTCTGCGCAGTGTATCTCTTTCCTTAGTGAGAGCATAAACCTGAAATAATGCAAGTCAACTACTCAACTCCATCATAATTCGTACCAGCATGAATAAGTCATAAAAAAAACCATAAAGCTGCACTTAAAATATGTGAAAAACTTGTAGGCCAAATAGCTAGAATATGGAAGTTGAACAATTAATATAACCAGAGACAATACAATGTTTTCGTTTAAGAAAAGATGCAGACTAGTTACCAAAACATTAGATATGCATGGCAATGTGGCATACAAGTCATGCCTTATGTGGTTTATTTATGTATAAAATGGAACTGAACAAGAAATAGCACCTGCAAAAATGTACCTTTCGCTCAAGTGCTGCCCCTCTTTGATGATACTCTTCTCTCAACGATTCAGTTTCAGCTTCGTTTGTTTTTCTCTGCAAAATGCCTCACCCGATTAATAATGTGTATACACATGTATAGATATGTTTGTATATATACGTGCCCGATTGAATAGAAATGTCAACAAAAATGAAATAAGTGAGGACAAATAATCTATGCATTGCTAATGTTAGAATCTATTACTATTCTTCAGTATATACTTTGAATGCACCACTATAATGTATCATCAGATTATCTTAAAAGTCAAAACCGATAAACATTAATGTAAAAGGAGAAACATATATGGCCACAGTAAAAAATTAGTTGAAAGAATAGAGTATTGACTCACACTCAGATCAATCATAGCTTTCAACTGCTCATTTTCATTCATCAACTTTGCAATTTCATCAGCCTTGGCCTGGAAGGGAAAAGATAATGACAATCAGATTCACATATTAACATTAAACACTTAAAAATAATTTTTGAAAATGGACTTTAAATAAGTACAACTTATTACAAATGAAATTACGAAAATGCAGAAGAATACAATAATAACAGTTTCTCATCTAGTAAATGGAAGTTTTTCTTAGTTAGGAAAACTTCATTTTCTTTATTTTTGTAGACAATCTGAATATATGTCCACTGCATGCATGTGAAAATTTTCAGGGCTGCAGCACATGCTACAGTCCGAGATTAAGTACTAAAACTGAAATACCTGAGCTTGTCTAGCAGCTCCGTGCAATGCATTTTCCATCATTTTCATTTCCTTCTTCACTTTCTCAAGTTCAGCGACAGAATCTGCAATATCAGAAGAATTGCTTCCACTACTCGAATGTTTTTCTTTTACATTTGCATCTCTGTCTGAGTGCTGCTTCAGCTCAATTGATTTATCAATGGTATCAGTCAGAGGTGTAGACAAATCCAAAGCTTCTTTTGAAGCCTCCTCATCATTATTTTGTAAAATGGGCAACTTGTCAGTATAATTATCTTCAATATCTCTTGTTAGATAAGAAATATCTGATGCAGATGATTCTCTACTTTCAGTCGGCCCTTCAGGTGATGCATCTTTAACGTCTTCTTTTTCTGCATTTTGTTTACTTAGGCTCTCCATCGAACTAGCTGTATCATCTACTCCAGGCACAGAAGTAACTACTTCAATTTTACCGACAGAACTCGTTGATTCTGGTTGTAATGACTCCAACAAAGTAGAAGATATTTCTTCTGACCGCTCCTCCTCTTGAAGATTGTTTGCATATTCAGTTTGCTCAACCTCTTCAGGCTTTTGTTCAAATTCTTTAACAGGAATCGAAGGTGAAACCACTTCAGCTTCACTGTGGTCTGCCGTAGCATTGTCTTTTGGCTCCCCGCTGATATCCTTTATAATTTCCTCTCCAGCTCCTGGCTCTACGTCGGTTTTTTTTAATTCTTCAATCGGTGGATCTACATGAGAAATTTGTTCACTTTCTTGATTAGCTAAGCTGTCATTCTCAGCTTGTTCTTTGACAGGGGACGTAGGCTTTGAGGAAGTAGAGTTTCCCGATGATTCAACAGAACTCTCCCCACTTTTCTGCCCCATAAATCCGATGATTGGTTCAAACAATGCCTTCCCGTCCGTAGTTGAAGGCCACAATCCGGACTCTGTCATGCAGAAACTATTAGTAAAATATTATTGATTCACAATAATAGCCCCCACTATTAACAAACCATTTTTTTGTCGTACGAATTACTTAAGCAAGCTTTAACTGATACTAGGGGTATCTGACAAAGTAGAAAATTTTCCAAAATCTTTATGTACAAATTTGTTAGATTCAAAAATCAGTGAGCTAGTTGCATGAAGCCCTTACAAGACCTCAAATCCTAAAAACACCAACCATTAGGGATCGGTACATTCTTCAGCAAATTTGCACAACCTCCAAACAATCTAATAAGTTACGTCTCAAATGCAAAGCAAGCAACAAAACCACCAGCAATCAGATCAATTCTCCAGCATTTTATACATAATAACAAAATCTATGAGTGATCCTACATCAATTTCTTACAGTCAACATGAATATCAAAAAATCTCATACTGGATCCAATTCACCATAATGACAGTACATTCACACAAGAAAATAACAACGAATACCTTCAATATCGCTACCGGCAGCATCATCGGATTTCTCTTCGATACCAAGGGCGTTGTCGAAGTTCTTCTCGATGTTTTTCACACTCTCACTCAGTTTATTCACCGCCCCTGCAAAATCCGGGAAGTTCCCCAGAGATACCTTCCCACTAAACCACGCCATATCTTCAATCAGTCCGCTTGATCCAGGTCCTCCTCCTAGCACCACTTCCACATCATCCAACGCAACAAAGCTGCAAAATCAATCGGAAAAAAAAAACGTGATTACAACTTAACATCTACTAACTGCAGCTAATTTTCGCAGCATTCAAAACGAAAAAAAAAATTAAATTAAATCAAAACCGAAAAATTGGGAATCGAATGATGCTCGATCATGAATCAGTTTCCAGAATCGCGTAAAACGATTTCAAATCAGTAATTGAGATTTCAGGATTGAATTGAAAAACCTTGGGGATCTTCAATGCGGGATGACTAATGAAAATTGCGAGTTCGTTATGGGATTGAAAAAATAGAAATGTTTGCAGAAAGGTTGATCTGATTTGATTCGGTGTTCGAGTTGTTCACCCGTTGCTCTAACGGGGCGGCGGGTCGGCCCGGCTAGTTGTTCAGGAGCCCGTCTATCGACCCGGAATATATATTCGGTAAGAGCAACGGTCGTTACGACGTCGTTGCAGTCATAATTAGCCATTTATTTGTTTTCATTCCCTTTTTATATATTTATGGATGAAATTCACTTTGCACCCCTGTACTATAAGAAATGTATCGTTTACCCCCCTGATGTATGGAAAACATCAAATACCCCCTACATTTGACAGTCAATGGTCAAATTTTTAACAGTGTTAAATTTGAGGTTGCAATTACTATTTTACCCTGTTTTACACGTCTTGGAGAATTCCTAAAGTTTTTCACGTCATTTACTCTCTATACAACTTTCTCTCTCTCTCTCTTGGTGTTCTCCATCTTTTCGATTTTGCAAGAAAACAACACCTAAAAGATTCATATATTTATTTCATACTTCTATTGGAATTATTATTCACTTAGGTCTCGTCTAGTTGATTAAATTAGTCATAATTAATTGGGTAAATTACAACCACCCCTGAGCTACGGTCAATTTACGAAAAACAAATATCTCTTGTTTGGATAATTACATCCCCTCAACTATGATTTTTTCTTACATCTCCACTCTTATGGTGTCAAATTCAACATAATCTAGATTTCGTAAAATGTTCTCTAGTTTGTACTCGTTTTGTGTAAAAATGCTGGTTTTGATGCACCACAATTTGATATATACAAGCCAAAAAACACATCTTATGATCATCTTGCTTCAAAATGTGGAGTTCGAATGGGATAAAACGGGTACAAAAGTGATGATATTCCATATAATCTCGAATAATCCACTAAATTTGAAACTGCAAGGGTGGACGTGTAAGAAGATTTATAGTTGAGGGGATGCTTGTAATTATCCAAACAAGATGGGATTTTTGTAATTTAACCATACCTCAAGGCTTAAAACACATCTTATGGTCATCTTGCTTCAAAATGTGGAGTTCGAATGGGATAAAACGGGTACAAAAGTGATAATATTCCATATAATCTCGAATAATCCACTAAATTTGAAACCGCAAGGGTGGACGTGTAAGAAAATTTATAGTTGATGGGGTGGTTGTAATTACCCAAACAATATGGGGTTTTTGTAATTTAACCATACCTCAAGGGTTAAAACACATCTTATGATCATCTTGCTTCAAAATGTGGAGTTCGAATGGGATAAAACGGGTACAAAAGTGATAATATTCCATATAATCTCGAATAATCCACTAAATTTGAAACCGCAAGGGTGGACGTGTAAGAAGATTTATAGTTGATGGGTGGTTGTAATTACCCAAACAAGATGGAGTTTTTGTAATTTAACCATACCTCAAGGGTTGTTGTAATTTACCCTAATTAATTAAATAATTGGATTTTATTAGATGTTTGGTTCGATCAATATTTTTTCGAGTTGTGTATAATTGTAGAAGGAAAAAAGCTCTAATCTTATTTTTTTTGGTAACGAAGGAACCAACAGTCAACCATATAAGTGCACTGGGTAAACTTATAATCTCATATAATAGCTTGTAAACCATACGAGACATTATTATACGATCAATGTAATTACTAATCTCCGACTTTTAAATAAAAATAAACACGATTAACTTTTTTTTTTTTATCAATTTGTTCCGAACAATTTACAATTAATTCACACACAAACTATAAGTATTCATATTGGTGTATCATGCATAGGTACACCATAGATCTTTGAACACTATGAAAATTTCATGCTAAATGCAATGCAACGGTCTAAAACCTTCAATGGAAAGTAAACGAAAGATAAACGAAAATACTGAATATTTTACGATAAAACCGAACTACAAGATAAAAGAAAAGCTAATAGTATATATATATATATATAATATATATATATATATATTTAGCTGGATAAGATTTTGCAACATCATCCAGTCCCGTTAAGGCACGTTTGGTTCGAGTTTGATATATATATATATATATATATATATATATATATATATATATATTATTTAACAATCCACATAATCCTATCGTTCAAACCAAACAAGCCTTAAGAAGGATAACTCAGTCCTTCCATAGAATCACAAATGTTATGAATTAAGGCTAAAAATAACACATTTTTTACACAGCACAAAATCACGAAAGCCGGTTGGTGGCTTCACTCTTCACATTACTGTCCCAGGATATCCGATATTGACTTGCTGATTGCCTGAGAAAGTTCTTGCCTATATGGAATAAATAAAGAAACTGCAGTTAGCATAAAGAAACGTGTATATTTTGTACGAGGCTGTGTGAATCAATCGAAATTTCACGCAAGTACGACATGCATATTGTTAGTATAAGTATTTGATTTAACTATGAAATCATAAAAAATGTGCAGTGATTATATATATATACATATATATATATATATATATATATATATATATATATATATATATATATATATATATGTATATATATATATATGTATATATATATATATGTATATATATATATATTATGTATATATATATATATGTATATATGTATATATATATATATATATGTATATATATGTATGTATGAAATTTATATATATATGTATATATATATATATATTATGTATATATATATATATATGTGTATATATATATATATATATATATATGTATATATATATGTATGTATGAAAGACTTTCTTACCTGTCGGGTTTGAATAAGAGATATCGGTATGTGAACCACTGAAAATAAAATTTCTCACGTTAGAAGAATTACTCTTAAGTGCACTGTAAATAATTTTGTTTCCTCAAGATAAGGTACACGAAACCATTATATACTATACTTACCGAGGAAAACAATAATCCAATGAGCTCAAGCACACCTGGGACTACTGGAATCTTCTCGATCGACTGTTTCGATATTCAAGAAAATATCAGCACAAAAAATTAAAAAAAGAAACTTACAAGTCAACTATTTTTTTTTTCTTTTATGAATAAGTCAAACATATTTCAAGAAAGGAAAGAGTTAGCAAATCCTCTTTAAAAACAGCAACAACGAGACTCGCGAGAATGTTATCGGGAATAGAAACATACAGTTGGTTGTGGTTTAAAATTATCTTTCCGCAAGTACTAAATAAGCTAAATTGGTGGACTTTTATTCTAAATCTATTTATTTGCAATGGATTTCAAATCCGTCGAACTTGTAGCAATAAAAGACCTTAAGGAGTTACCGTGACAAGATTAATTGATGCCCAGAAACCCACAACACCGGCAAATCCTAGAGCAACCAGAGCCACACGATCTTCAGATTTATCCCACTAGTCAAACGAGCCAAAAAAACCGAAAAAAAGGATCAACGAGAAATAGAGAAAAAAAAATTACAAAGCAATATTGACAAAACTAAATTAAGACTCACAACATTCAGTACAGACTTGACAATTGAAGAATCCGAGCTTTCACCTGTCGCCTTTGCTATTACTCCAAGGCGATCTTGTCTCTCTGTGTTATTCCACAAACAAATGTTAAGTATTAAGAAAAAATGAAATCTCGAATATTGCATATTGATGTCGAGCATTTGCTATACGGAATTCTCAATATTACGCTCCGTTTCAAAATATAAACAGTTCCAACGGTACTTTGAGTGACTTAGCTAACGAAATTACTTGAAGACTATACCCACTACATTACAGATTAATTAAGAATTTAAGATCTCATTATACGAATATATGATTACAAACCTAGAATTCATTATATATGATGATTTTCTGGTAAATAAATACCGAAATTTCCCACATTATTGATGGCAAGCACCAAAATCACCTTTAATATCATAATGTATTCTTCATCAAAGCATTGTACTTCCCAACACATTCACTTCTATATAACCTCGTTTCATCGAGATCTCCAATCGAAAATTTGAGTTTAAAAACATAATCATTTTCAAATGAAGTACCCAGTCAAAATTCCCAATCAACAAAACAAAACAAAAAAAACCTAAGTAATTTCCCCTCATTATCATATTCATAGTACAAGTACTGCAAGCAAACTTACATGAAACTGCGATTCAAGCTTCAAAAACAACAAAATTGAAAAGAAAGGGGCTCACCTTTAATAGTTGGAACCGCCAATTTCTGAATTGTTCCAAAAACCGGCTGTCTTCCGCCGTTGACCACCATCAGCGGCGAGGCGGGAAGCCTAGCTAATACTGAAGCCATCTGAAATAATATTCAGCAAAATTAGATCATCAAAATTAAGGTTTGCTCTTGTTACCATGAAACTGCAAAAATTGAACGATCAATTATCTAATTCACTAGAAGCAGCAGCAGCAGAAGAAGAAGAAGAAGAAGAAGAAGAAGAAGAAGAAGAAGAAGAAGAAGATTGATACCTTTGCACAGAAATTCGAAGCTCTAGATTCTAGAGAGAGAAACAAACAAAAAAAAAGGAAAGCTCTGTTTGGAGATTACCACAGAAAACGAACCAATTATCACATTCACTATATTTACATTTATATTTTCTTTTTGTTTCTTATTATTGGGAGGAAAATCGTTTTTTTTTTTTTTTTTTTTTTTTTGCTTATCGAAAAAAAAAAAGAAAATCGAATTTAATTATTCATTTTTGGGTTGGTATTACATGCAAGTAAAAAAAAGCCCAAATACTATTAAAAGTTTTCTATGATCTAGCCCGTAACGGAGCCCAAATATATATATCTTGAGAATCTAATAGTAAAAAATAGATAAAATTGAGATTTTATTAAAAAACAATGATATTAAAGTGAGTAGTCGAGTCGAAAAAATAACATAGGGAAAATTATCGAACGAACGGTTGGCTTGGTTGTGGGAGTAAGGAGAATGACGTGTAACGATCCAAGTCCAAGTACAATTTCTCATGTTAGTATTGTTTTAGGTTGAACTCATCACACATGGATTGTCCAGTACGATTTACACTTCTCGTTGTATACTATTGCACGGGAGTGTTGTTTACTCGATACAGTATTCGACCAAATTTTAATCGACGCAAATGTGAATTGAGCTCGATATGGAGGTTTGATTTACAGAATGCGAACTTTATTTGTTTTTTTTTTTTATAACAATTTTGCCTTTATTTATTAATGAGCATTTATATGTAGATAAAATATTATTTAATATGTGTAATTTTTTTGGATTTTCCATTAATCAAATACATATTATTTAATATTTTCATTGTGTGTGCATTTAAATTTAAAAAATGGTTTTTTTTTTTTGACAAGATAAAAAATGGTTAGAATAATAGAAGTTGAATTAAAAATTTAAGAAAATATAGTTCAAGGACCATAAATCTCACGGGATAGGGTTATCCAACAAGACCTGACGTGGCACCATTTAAATGGAATACAAAAAAAGAGATTTCCACGTGGCAGGCCAATATCCAATCAGAAGATCCAAAACATCCACATGCAATCAAAATCACCAAATAAGCATCAAAGTAGTTTTTTATTAGTTAGGATCTTGAAGCCAGCCAGACACACTGCACCCAAAAAAAAAAATGGCTTCACTTGCAACCTTCGCCGTAGCCCAGCCCGCCGCCGTCAAGGGCCTCGCCGGCAGCTCCATCGCCGGAACTAAGCTCCACGTCAAACCTTCTCGTGTCAGCTTCAAACCCACCAACTACAGGTAATATACTTCTAATACATTTAATTTCATTTTAAATAAAGAAAATCTCAATCATTTATATTTTGAGTTTTAGTTCAGATTATTATTATCATATTTTGAATTAAAATTTGAGTTAATTTTTTTTTTCTCAATTATGTTAATTCAATTATTATGTTGGGTAAATTACGAAAAATACCTGAACTTAGGCTAAATAAGAAAAAACACTCCATCTAATCATAATTACCAAAACCTCGTTTCCGTCTTATACCAACCCTCTTATAGTGTTATTTTTTACAGTTTTTTTGTATTCCAGGGAATATACTTTATACAATTTCATATATATATATTTTTTTTTTTTTTGATAATTTGTTATATTTTCTTTTATTTCACACCTATTTAACAAAGGTATAATAGACGGTTCTGTTAAAAAACTCGATCAACAGTTAGAGGGAGATTTTGGTTATTATGGATAGTTTTGTAATTTACCCTTATTATGTTTTTGGGTAATTATTGTCCAGGGGTGGCGCAGTGGTCGCGAAATACGGGGACAAGAGTGTGTACTTTGATTTGGAGGACATCGGCAACACCACCGGCCAATGGGACTTGTACGGCTCAGATGCACCCTCACCATACAACCCCCTTCAGGTAACATAATCTATGATCATTTTTATTTATTTATTTATTTATTTTTCAATTTCACAATTAATTCATAGATTGAATTTGTGTGTGTATATATATATATATATATATATCTTTGATTGCTATATATATTGAAGATGTCTTAGTTCCAACACCAAATTGATTCTTCTGATTCCATCTATGTAGCACTGAAACTTCAACTTCTGTAATCAACTTCTGTAATCGAACGTAATTAATTGAAAAAAAAAATTTGTTCTCAAATATTTTAATCTATATATTTATATTTGCAGAGCAAGTTTTTCGAAACATTTGCGGCTCCATTCACAAAGAGAGGTATATTGCTCAAATTCTTGATATTGGGAGGTGGCTCTACTCTTGCCTATGTTAGCTCCCAAGCCACCGGAGATGTTCTTCCGATCGTCAAGGGCCCGCAACTTCCCCCCAAGCTCGGGCCCCGCGGCAAAATCTAATTAGTACTCATGAGATTTTATATTTTTCGATCCGTTAATTCGTCATTGTAAGTATTATCTCTTGAATCATTCTCATGAAGATTGTAATCGTTAAATATCCTTAACTAGATGTTCTTTTATATTTTTCGCGCATTTTTATCGTCTTTTTCTTGAGTGCGATTCTAGAAGCTTCGTGCGCAGCTCGTTTTTCTTAAAAAAAATGACTTATTGGACATAAAAAAAAAGTACTTACAATAATCCAATTGATCTAACCTGTTTTGCAAACGAAGAAAAATGAATGGCTACGCATTTTTTTTTCGTCCGATTTTTTCTTCTTGCAATTTACAACTAATGCCGTGCCGTTGGACTTCTTGTACCGCCTATGTTCTCTAGCTTCTCTATGTAAGACATCCGTTTGTTTGTGACTATGTTAGCCGGTTTGCCTAGGTACTTTGTCTCGACCGCGTCTTGAGAATCTTTCTTATTCTCTCCGTTTTCTAAGTTCCACCCCATGAAATCCAATAGTGTCATCGAAGTAGGCGTTTCCACCGAATTACAATCTTCTTTATCGTATTTCGGAAGCTTCTCTAATGGCTCTTTCAAAGGAGACTTCTTTGGCTCCACGCTCGACGGACTCATAGCCAAAGAGTCGGCATGCATTACTTCCTCGATTCTTGATAATACCGTAAACGCTAAGCTCTCGATGATTCTTGAATAGCTCTCCAAAATCGCCTGCCCCACATCCTGCAATCAAGAAAAAAAAACAAGAAATGAGAAACCTAGTACGAAATCAAAACGTTCTAGAGCGTTGTTTTTTGTTTTTTTCGTACTCGATTGCATTGGATTTTTGTGATGTCTAGATCGGATTGGGGGAGACCCGGAAATCGGTGTTTCAAAAGAAGCAAAATCGTTTCGGCTCTATCTTCGAATATTTCTCGTTTTTCCAAACTCACAGCCGAACCCCAAGAGGACTTGTTATCTTTGGCTAGCATTTTTCGTTCCCATATCACTACCGATGCCTCGAGTTTATTTTTCAGGTCGAGGAGTTTATGCTCCGATGATAAGTCAATGGAAGAAAGGAAATAATCTGGATCGAAATACTCGTCGGTGATGCTCTTATACATTGAATCTCCGAGGCTTGCTCTCCCATTCTATTTATTATTACAAAGAAATACATTAAAACTTCTTCAACATAGTAATTAATCATGTAATAATCTAAAATGTTTGTCTTTCTTTCTTTTTTTTTTTTTTTTTTCCGGGTTTTTTGTACCTTAGGGAGAGACTCGATATAGCTTTCCGGGATTTCCATTTCCGACAAGACTTGAGCGTTTATAGCCATGGCCGCTTTGAGCACTTGATTTACGGAGTCTTTTTGATATTGCAGCCATTTTCTTGAAACCTCGGATAAGCCGTTCGGGGGAACTTTTGGAGTGGGAATCCACCATTTGTTGTCTTTTCTCGGGTTTTTGCCTTGCTGCGACTCCTCTTCGGTCGACGATACGTAGTAGAATTCGTTTTGGTCCTTGAAGTTATCTAGGCATTCCTGTCCAGAGTTAATTAAGCACATGGAAAAAATGTGATCAAAATTGATTTTTATTAAAACACATGTTTTTTTTTATAGCTAGAGAAAAAAGGTTATATATGTGCTCTTCTTACAAGGAGCATTGCGTCGAGCTTTTTTAACGCCGGAATGTTCATGTGGAGATCGTTTCTCTGTCTCGTCACCATAATCTGGTCGATGAATGAACGACGTATGTGTGTGAGAGAGAGAGAGAGAGAGAGAGAGAGAGAGAGAGAGAGAGAGAGAGAGAGAGAGAGAGAGAGAGAGAGAGAGAGAGACCTCCATATTGGAGCCATCTTTTGCCTTTTGTTTGGAAGGAACAAACTCAACAATGTGATCTGTGACAGATAAGAGCCAATCAATTTCTTTTTTCCATCTTGCTTTCATTTCTGGTGACATTGGCTCTAATCTCTTTTGTTCTCCAAATGCAGAAGCTGAAATTCAATTATATCAAATTATATAATAATAATAATAATAATAATATATATATTTGAAGAATTATTGAAAAAAAAATTATATATATACCTGCTAAGTTTGTGATTGCATTCGACAATGCCAAAGCCGAAGAAACGCCTTTCCCCCCACCGGACATATCTTCGCCGAGAAGCAACTTTGCAAACTTTTCCTTCATCAATTCCATATCTATAAATAATTATATCAAATGCTTCAATAAACGACACATCGAATATGGCGCAATAATTATTCGATACATTTGCTTCAACAAAATAAAGGGCAAAAAAAAAATTAAAAATCAAAATTATTGATTATATATTTTTTCTTGCCTGAATGCAGCCTTTCTATTGCACGAAGATTCGTGGAACTCCCGTCACTGGACAAACGGGACTTGATATTCTCCGTCCGATCAAGAACGCATCCGATTTTCGTGTGCTCGGATATTTCGTGATCGTGTAGGAACAAAAGAGAGGCATGGCTCCGCGACGTCATCCTGCCGTCGTTGCCAAGTGGCGAAAGGGCGCCATTGTTGTCGATAATCAAGCTTTTCGTCTCTCGTTGCCCGAGTCGGGATTTGAAGATTTCCTTTTCCTCCTCCAATGCCCTTACCATTATTTATTGTGATTCAAACTTGATGGAAAAAAAGAGAGAGAAGGGAAGGAGAAAGATGATTTGTTTATTTAATTATTTATTTATTTAATTAATTGTTTAATTGGTGTGATATTTTTCTTTGTTATGAAAGGTGATCAACGTGGGGTGTATGTTAGTTAGAGGATGAAGTGAAAGAATTAAGACAGGTCATTGGACAAGCAGAAATGAAATATCATGGTTTTTTTGTAGTATTTTATTTTCTTTTATTAATTCTTTTTTTCTATTTATGATTGGTTTTTTCAATTTAAGAAAATTGGGTGGTGGTTTTAAGTTTTGAAGGTTAGTTCAAGAGAAAGGCAAATCAACTTTATTAATAGCCTGTTAATTAGGCATTTAAATCTCTCTCTCTCTCTCTCTCTCTCTCACACACACACACACACATTCCCATTTTAGGATGAAATCATAACATTTATTTATTTATTTATTTTTAACTCCTAAAAATATGAAACTATTAAAAAAAATAATTGTTATGGTTAAATTTCTATAAATTAATAACATTGGACAAATATACTTGTATTATCGTAATGAATGAATGTTGAATATCTTTAAGTATCTTGATTCCTGAATAATATAAAACAACTAGGTAGATATTGATGGGTAAATAAATAATTAGATAGTATCATAAAAATTGATAGCAATTGTACAATTGAAGATGATAGTTTTAAATATTTTTTTTCCTGAATTTTAGGAAAACAACATTAAAAGTTATTGTCACACATAAAAGAATTAGAGTTGAGATTTAAAGTATCATCAATTTCAACAAAAATAATAGAGTGACTAAGTTATGAACTCTTCATGGATTAGTCATAAGATGTGGAATACTATTTATTAAGAAAATCTTAATTTATATAGTTCACTCCTACTGAGACATCGTTTATTTGATTGCTAAGATAAGAATAGTCAATATAAGATTAAATAATTTAATGAAATCGAATCGTATTAATTTATTAGACCTTTGTCATCAGAAAAAAAAAAAACTATGATAACATAATATTTGCGGGTCGACCCGTCAAATTATGTAGGATACAAAACATCAAACAAAGTTTCACAATTTAGTTAAGTATAAATTTACGGCCACCCCCTGATGTAAATGTATAATTACGAAAAAAACCCTATTATTTGTATAATTACGTTCCTAAATTTATCAACAGTAGGGATTTTTCATAGTTAAAGGGTGTTTGTAATTATGCTAGACTTTTTTTCGTAATATAACCTTATTTCAGGGGTGATTGTAATTTGTCATTTAGTTAATAATGACTAGTCTTCCAACCAAACGAGACCTAAGCGGAATATAATTAAAAATAGGGTAAATTACAACCACCCTGAGGTATTGTTAAATTATGAAACTCCCCTCCTGTTTCGGTAATTACAATCAACCCCCTTAACTATAAATTCAGCTTCAAATTTAGTGGAATATTCGATATTATATGGAATATTATCACTTTTGTATCCGTTTTATCCCATTCGAACTCCACATTTTGAAGCAAGATGATCATAATATGTGTTTTTGGCTTGTATATATCATATTGTGGTGCATCAGAAACTGTATTTTTACACCAAACGGGTACAAACTAAACATATTCCATGAAATCTAGATGATTATGTTGAATTTGACACCATAAGGGTGGATTTGTAAGAAAAAACCATAGTTGAAAGAGGTAAATGTAATTATCCAAACAAGAGGAGCGTTTTTTTTAAATGGGCATATTACAAATAAGCGCATCAGTGGGTACTTATTCATAGAGAGATCCAGACAATAATCTCCTTTACCAATAAGTCCACACATGGTCCAGATTTTTGTAAAGGACTAAAATAACCCCTCTTACTTTAATATGCTCCACTTTCGTCCTTAACTTAATTTAACTTCAATTTGACCCCAAATTTCACAAATTATTCAATTTTGACCCAAAACTTTTTTTTTTCACAAATTTTTTTTTTCAAAACCTTTTTTTTTTCCGCCGAATCCGGCGTTGACTTTTTTTTTATTTTTTTTTTGCTTTCTTCCGGATTTTTCTTCCGGATTCCGGCGTTGACTTTTTAATTTTTTTTTTCTGTAACTTTTTTTTCCGTTTAAACAACAATATTGCTGTGAATGACAATAATATTAACTATATTACTGTTAAACACAGTAAAATTAACTAAATTATAGTTTAACACAGTGATATTGCTATATTAATCTCTAGCACATTAATATTAACACAACAAAATTCATTATTATTGTATAGTAAAGTAATATTACTATGTTGTCCGTTCAACAAATGTAAACAAAATAAAAAAAACCAAAAGAATTAATATTACTGTGAGTGACAGTAATATTACTATAGCAACAGTAATATTACTATAACAACAGTAATATTACAATAGTAGACAGTAATATTATTACGTTACTCCGTGAATAACTCAAACAAACAAAAAATCCAAACAAAATAATAATATTGATGTGGTTGACAGGAATATTACTATAACAACAGTAATATTACCGTCAACCACAGTAATATTATTATGTTTACAGTAATACTACAATAATAGACAGTAATATTAATACGTTACTCCGTGAATAACTCAAACAAAACAAAAACCACAAAAAAATAATAATATTGATGTTGTTGACAGTAATATTATTGTGTTTACAGCTATTTTACTGTCAACGACAGTAATATAATTACGTTGACTTGTCAACAAATCAAACAAAATAAAAAAAATAATAATAAATAAAAATATATAATATTGCATTAATTTACTGTCAACGGCAGCACAATTACATAAATGTAATGTCAACGGCAGTACAATTACGTTAATTAACTATCATTGACAGTATAATTACGTTAATTTACTGTCAGTGACAGCACAATTACGGTCAACGTTTAGCGGCGGACGTGGAAAAACAAAACAAACCAAACAAAAAAAAAAAAAAACTTAAAAAAACACTAAAAAAAGAGACGCCGGAAACCGGCGAAAAAATCCGGAAGAAAAGAAAAGAAAAAAAAAAGAAAAAAAAAATCAACGCCGGAGACCGGCGTTGACCGCCGGTCACCGCTGGAAACCGGCGAAAAAATTCGGAAGAAAGAAAAAAAAATAAAAAATAAAATAAAAAAGTCAACACCGGAGACCGGCATTTACCGTACCTAGAATAATAAACATGCTTGGTTGGGGACTTTTGCATAAAAATCCCCCTTTAAATTGACCATACCTGAGGGTTGTAATTTACCCTTAAAAATAATATTAAACGAATTTGAGGACTAAATGAGTGGAGTATAAATTTGAAATTAAAGTTAATATCATTTTTTTTTACCTTCCTCATCGCCTATGAAAAATGGAGAATGCAGTGGTGCTGATGACCTGCCCAATGTCCGCCTACCTCGAGCAAGAACTCGAGAAACGCTTCACACTGTTCAAACTCTGGGAATTCCCTTCGAAACCCCAATTCCTGACTCGGCACGGCGACTCAGTTAAGGCGGTGGTGGGCAACACCAAAATCGGCGCCGACTCGGAGCTGATCGACTCGCTCCGCCGCCTCGAAATCGTGGCCAGTTACAGCGTCGGCCTGGACAAAATCGACCTGAGTAAGTGCAGAGAGAGAGGAATTAGGGTTACCAACACCCCCGACGTGCTGACCGCCGACGTCGCCGATTTGGCTATTGGGTTGGCCCTCGCGGCGTCGAGGAAGATTTGCCCCTCCGATGAATTCGTGAGAAGCGGGTTATGGAAGAGTCGGAATTTCGAATTGGCGAATAAGGTACATTTGAATTGGGGATTTCTTTTTTGATTTTGGTTAATTCGTGTGATTTCTGTTTACAATCTGCTGAAGAATTAACACTGAGACTTAGAGCTTTTGGTTTCGAATTTTCGATTCGAAAAATGTGTGCTTGAATGGGATATCATACATTAGGGGTGTTGATCGGAACAGAATTTCCGTATTCTACCAATTCTTCGATCAGGATATTTCCGATTTTAGGACAACATTTTTCATTCCGAAAGTTCCGATTTCTGTTTATTCCAACTTTCTTTAGTAATAAAGCCATGATCTTGATGCTGCTACGAGTGGTAAAATGTCACGTAATTAACTCGATCTTGTGTATCTTTTCTCACTAAAATATCACGGTTTTCGACTATCTTAAAATGGTTCTAAAAGTTCAAGAACCAGTACCATTTATTAGTTTAGTGTCTTTAACTCGATGATTAATGAAGTAACATGATCTCGTTGAAATATAATTAGTAAAGATAAATTCCATACTCGGGACTAGTGAGCTGTAATTGAACGAAATTTCGTCCGACGTGATTAGTAAAGGGTTCTCCACTCGAGTGATATTATACCTCAATTTTCTCGACCTATTGTAAATTGTTTTCACGTTTATATCTATGTTGTAGTTTCATTAATTTTCTTGTAACCATTTTGCAGTTCAGTGGTAAATCAATCGGCATAGTCGGATTGGGCAGGATCGGCTCAGCAATAGCCAAGAGAGCCGAGGCATTTAACTGCACCATTAGTTACCATTCAAGAACCAAGAAAGAAAACACAAACTACAAACACTACACGAACGTTGTCGATTTAGCTGCCAGCTGTCAAATCCTAGTTGTATCGTGCTCTTTGACAGAGGAAACGAGGCACATTGTGAACCGCCAGGTCATCGACGCATTGGGCCCTCATGGGATTCTCATCAATATCGGGCGGGGCCCACACGTCGACGAACAAGAGCTCGTTTCTGCATTGCAAGAAGGGCGGTTGGGTGGGGCTGGGCTCGATGTGTTTGAGAATGAACCGGAGGTACGCGAGTCGTTTTTTGGACTGGAGAATGTAGTTCTCTTGCCTCATGTTGGAAGTGACACTTTTGAGACGAGCAAAGCTATGGCTGATCTTGTTGTTGCGAATTTGGAGTCTCATTTTCTCAATAAACCATTGATTACTCCGGTTGTTTAAATTAGAATTAGTTATTTTAGGAGGGTGCATGAATCTTGTCGCTCTAAAAAAATTAGTATTCTATAGAGAAATTTGTTGTTCGTTTTTTTCTCCAAAGGAGTAGTGGCTGGCCCGGTTTTGGGGCCTATACATTTCGTTTTAGGAAAAGAAAGTGTTACGGGAATTTCTTCGTTGTACTTGCATTTTATAGTGACCATTTTGTAGATATTTTTACGAACTCTCTACAATTTCTTCGTTGTACTTACATTTTATAGTATACCTACATTTTATAGTGTACCTACAATTTTCATAGAATGCTTTAAAGAGCCCCTTCAACCGTAAAATTAAACCAATCTCTACCATCATTTAACGAGGTACTTAGGGATGGTTAGTATAAATATGAGTAAGATTTCATTTGTAAACCAACCGAACAAACTTGTAAACGAATACTACCTGAATAGCAATGGCCGCGGGAACATCAATGACCACCCGTTCCACTATGATGGTGCGGGCTTACAAAAACATTCATTTTAGGCAATGCATTTCAAACTTTACATTTTTGTGTTCTTGTTCGTTGATTTTTAAAATTGGCATAATACACGTACACACCAAATTTGAGGAGCACTACTTCTGTAGTTAGTGGTTACCTACATGATGGCTGGGTGGTCCGGAATGCTTACCATAGTCGAGCATCAAAAGGATTCTCGTCGATATTTTTGGCTACTCTAGTTTAGCAATTCTCTTAAAATCAAATTGGACATATACTATAATTTAACATCTCTTAAATATATACTTGAAAAAAAAATGCATTGAAGAAAAATGCTACTCGAAAACATAGAAAAAAAAAACAATATTATATTTGCCATAGATCCTATAAAAACTAAAAAGTGTAAGAGAAAATGAAATACTCCTATATACCATAAAAACACACCACTGTGTTCCCCATTCTTGATATATCACTTCTCTACAAATTGTTCATGAAGAAGAAGCAGCAACTCCTTTAAAGATGTGTTCCCCATTCTTGATATATCACTTCTCTACAAATTGTTCATGAAGAAGAAGAAGAAGCAGCTCCTTTAAAGATGAGAAAACTCATAGTTTCCAGTGTGAAATATATGAAACTTCCTTTACTATGAGTGAAGAAACACCCAAAATTGGATCCCACCACACACTGCCATCCACTCCCATATCTTCTGTCGAACTCCTACATGAAATCCAAGATCACAACTTCCAATTAAAACCCGCAATATAGTTCAAGCGTCTATTATTTTGTATGTGCAAGACTTCAAATGCAATTTGCCTGCACTCGAAGGAGCGTATTAGAGATATTAATATTAAATGGATACGTTTCACTAACAACTTAAGCTTTTATAAAAAAAGGATAGTAAGACATAATTAAGATGAATATATATATATATGAACAAGAATAGAGTCGATAATTTAAGATAATAATGAATTATATATACCTTTTTAATGTGGGCAGCCATGGATGTGTAGTCCAAAACATCATATAGATCAAGAGCTTGAGAAGCAGAAGCCATAGCTTGGATTTGCATCTTTAATGGCATATCACTATCTTCTATCAATGCTTTTCCCTCCAACATCTTCCCACTTCTGAAATCTCTTTTTTAATTGCCAACAAAATTAGATCTAAAATGAATTAAAAGATAAAGATTTATAGAGGAGGCTAGTCATTATCTTCTCCACCTCCAGCAAGAATGTGTATCCATGTGTTATATACGAGAGTCCTCCATGTGTAAATTACTCATTTGATGTGCATTCTTTCGGCCTAGAACAAGGACAAAAGAAATTTGTCGTCTTTCTTTTTTCTCTATCTCATCACTTTTTTAAGATGGTTTTTTTGACCTTGTTCTGCATTTGGCACAATCTTGATTCTTATTTGCTTTGGTATGAAGATAATGGATTTTAAGTTTAAAGGTGGTGAGGCCAATATTAAATGTTGTGTTTAGAAAGAGAATTTTGATCTTAGTTTGCTTGCCAAGATTGTGGGAAAGAGCAACTGAATGTCTGAATCAAGTTATTATCTGTTTTATTTAATGAAAGAACTTGCAATAAATCATACATTGTAAAATATACGGAAAATCACGCTAATTATACATGACAAGTTCGACCTAACGGACCTGTTAACAAATAATACGCGGGAGAAATATTAAAATGAAAATAAAAAAGTTGGCAAAAAGTAGTTTGTTGTTAGCTAGTTAAAATCTTGTTTGAGTAATTAATTAAGGGGTAATGGCAAATAGGCCCATGACAATGGTACTTAATTAAAAGAGGGACATCCAATTTTTTTGTCTTTCAAATAAATCCACCCCATTCAAACTTATTTGCAAATAAGGAAAATCATTTTATATATACCAAAATTACCCCAATTCATTGAAACCCAATTCAACTCCAATTTCATGATTTACACCCCAATTTAGCCCAATTTCATCAATTAACCAATTTTAACCCTAATTTCAATTTTGACCCCAATTTGAACCCTAATTCTTATCAATTCCACCAATTATGCTCTAACTTCCTTAATATTACACATTGACCCCGGATTTAAACAAATATATCACATTAACCCCACAAAATTTTTTTTTCAGGAAATAATTTTTTTTTCTGAAATGTTTTTTTTCCGGCCAGATTCCGGCGTTGACTTTTTTTTTTTTTTATAATTTTGTTTTTTCTTAATTTTTTTTAATTAATATTACTGTCTTGGCTGCTAAATTACTGTCTCCGGCAGTTATTTAACTGCCGGAGACAGTAACTTAGCTGTTAATTGACTTTTTTTTTTCTTCAAAAATATTTTAATTAATATTACTGTATTCGTTGCTAAATTACTGTCTCCAGCAGTTATTTAACTGTTGAGACAGTGATTTAACTGTTAATTGACTTTTTTATTCTTAAAAAAAATATTTTTAATTAATATTACTGTATTCGTTTGCTAAATTACTGTCTCCAGCAGTTATTTAACTGTCGGAGACAGTAATTTAACTGTTAATTGGTTTTTTTTCATTTTTTTTCTTAAAAAAAATATTTTAATTAATAGTATTGCCTTAGATGCTAAATTACTGTCTTCAACAGTAATTTAACTGTCTTAGACAATAATATTAATAATATTATTGTTCGGAAAAATAATATTCATAATATTACTGTTCGGAAAAAATAATATTCATAATATTACTGTCCCAAACAGTAATATTACTGTCTGAGACAGTAATTTAGTAGCTAAAACAGCAATATTAATTTAAATATTTTTTTCTCCTAAGGAAAAAAAATTCAAAAAAAAAAAAAAAAAAAGTCAACGCCGGAGACCGGCGGTCAACGGTGGTTGACCGACCGGAAAAAAAAAAGTTAAAAAAAAAAAAAAAAAAAAGTCAACGCCGGAATCTGGACATTTCAGAAAAAAAATTATTTTCTGAAAAAAAAAAGTTTTGGAGGTTAATGTGATATATTTGTTTAAATCCGGGGTCAATGTGTAATATTAAGGAAGCTAGATCATAATGGGTGGAATTGATAAGAATTATATTATTGAGGGTATTTTAGACTAAAGACATGGGGATGGGCTTAATTGAGAGACTGTTTTTTTTGTGTACCAAAATGCATTTAAGTCCCATGTGATGGGCCTTTTTGCCATTTGCCCATTAATTAAAGCTCTCGAATGCAAGACTTTGTTAATTAGTGAATCGGAATCCGCTAATTAATATCTACTAGTACTTCACCCGTGCGTTGCACGGAAGTCAATTTCAAAATGAGTAAAATAATAATATGTAAATGACTATCTCTTTATAACAATATCAATTCAAGTAAAATGAAATAGAAGGAAATAAAAAAAAACATAAATTTTATCTCTTAATTCAGAGTTGTAAAATATGAAATTCAATTAAATATTACAAAAAAGGAAACGGGAAGCGAGCAAAAAAACGATATGAATATTAAGTGAAATCATTTTAAACATATGGTATAACTCCATTTCATTGAATGCAATCTACTGCACCATGTAAATCTTCTGCAAAATAACTAATTTAACAACATACATGTACAGTAGTAGAGAAGTAACACAATAGATATTCAAATAACCTGCAAGTTTATCACTAACGATCTTCAATTAGTGATGCACATTACTCGAATAGCAATACAACTTATAAATATTGCAAAAGAGATAAGATGTATACGCCACTACAAATACTCATACTAATGTTGTTAGCAATACCAATACTCGATACTAATATTGATATCACTATTGATACCACTACTGATACTAATAATGATACTAATAGTAATAGTACTAATACTAATACTAATACCAATACTAATACTAATACTAATATTAATACTAATACTAATACTAATACTAATTATAATATTAATAATAATAGTGATATTGATATTGATATTGATACTGATATTGATATTGATACTCATAGTAATATTAATATTAATATTATACTAATAATAATACTGATACTGATACTGATACTGATACTGGTACTGATACTGATACTGATACTGATACTGATACTGATACTGATACTGATGTTGATACTGATAATGATACTGAAACTGATATGTATACCGATACAAATACTGATACCGATACTGATACTGATACCGATATTAATACTAATACTAATACTAATACTAATACTAATACCGATATTGATACTGATAGTAATACTAATACTAATACTAATACTAATACTAATGCTAATGCTAATACTAATAATAATACTAATACTAATACTAATACTAATACTAATGTTAATACTAATACTAATACTAAGACTAATACAAATATTAATACTAATACTAATACTAATACTAATACTAATATTACTTAAATAACAATACAACTTATACCAATATTGATACCAATACTCACACTAATAATGATAGTAATATTGATATTAATACTAATACTAATACTAATACATATATTAATACTAATATTAATAAGGATACTAATAATAAGATTAATATTGATATTGATACTAATACTGACTGATACTGATACTGATACTCATAGTAATATTAATATTAATATTAATACTCATACTAATAATGATACTCATACTAATAATGATACTCATACTAATACTGATTCTCGTACTCATAGTGATACTAATATTAATACTAATAATGATATTGATAATAATACTAATACTAATATAATACTTATACTAATAACGATACTGATACTGATACTGATATTGACACTGATACTAATACTGATACTGATATTAAAACTGATGGAGATACCGATACAAATACTGATGCCGATACTGATACTCATACCGATACTGATATTTATACCGATATTAATACTATTACTAATACTGATATTAATACTAATATTAATATTTATACTAATACTAATACTAATACTAATACTAATACTAATACTAATACTAATATTAATACTAATACTAATACTAATACTAATACTAATACTAATACTAATACTAATAGTAATACTAATACTAATTAATACTAATACTAATAATAAAACTAATTAATACTAATACAAATACTAATATTAATACTAATACAAATATTAATACTAATACTAATACTAATACTTATATTAATACTAATACTAATAGTTATATTAATGCTATTATTAATACTAATATTAATATTTATACTAATACTATTACTAATACTAATATGTTAATATTGTTAATGTTAAAGCTAATGTACATGTACTAATGATAACACTAATTTAAAGCTAATGTACATGTACTAATGCTAACACTAATTGTACTATTAATGCTAATCTGGATATGTTAATGCCAATCGTAATTGTAATCCTAATATTATCCAAATCCTTATCCTATTCCTAATCATATTCATTACACTAATCCTAATTATAATCCTAATTCGATTACTATTCCTAACACTAATCATAATTCCAATCATAACCCTAACAATTTTAATACTAATAATGCTAATATTAATGCTAATGTTAATTCATATTATAATTCTAATCTTAATTATGATCATAATCCTAATCCTAATGCTAATTATAATCCTAATACTAATACATGTCACTAATTGTAGTAGTACTAATCATAATTATAATCTTGATTAAAATTATAATACTGATATTAATCATAATCCTAATCCTAACCCTAATATTAATTATAATACTATGTTAATCCGATCCTAATCCCAGTATTAATTTTAATACTAATTCAAATAATATTAATTATAATCTTAATTCTAATGTTAAGTCTAACCACAACCCTAATTCTAATTTTGCATAACTGGTTTTTGCAATGATCTATTATTTTATATAAAGAACAATACTATGCAATCTCGCAACCTTTATATCAAATTCATTATGTGTGGTAGCTCAACCATCAAAAAGTACATATTAAATATATTGAAAATTAATATTTAATTATATTATCAAACTGATATTTAAATTTGTTTTAAAATATTATAAGGGTATAAGCAAACGTTAAGACGTAAAAAGAACAATATCGTTGTTAATAGGATAAATTACGAAAATCCTTTCTGAACATAGGCTAAATTACGGAAAACACCCGCACTTATTGATAGTTACCGAAATTCCCCTGACGTTTGTTTTTGTCTTACACAACCCCCTCATGGCGTGATTTTTTACGGAACCTTTTTTATTCCATGTAATATCCCAAAAAATGTGGATTCTAACCTTGCAGACGTGACATTTATTTTATCCTACGTTTTAAATACAAAAATTACCCTTAAGGGAGGTAATGGTAATTCTAAAAAGTTGTGAATGTGTTATTTAAGAAGAATAAGGATTTCGTGTAAAGCCCCATGAGGGTAATTTTTCTCTTTAAATAGTACCATAAAGAAATGTCGCTTGTGCAAGATAGAATCAGCATTTTTCGGGGACGTAATAAAAAAAATATCCGTGAAAATCATACCGTAAGGGGTTTGATGTAAGACGGAAAAAAACATTAGGGGAATTTTGGTAGTTACGAATACGTGGGGGTGTTTTTTTCTTAAATTTGCCTAAGTTCAGGGGGTTTTCGTAATTTATCCATGTTAATAACTAACTTAAATTGATTTGCACGTACGACCATGTAAATTAACGAAATAAATATATCTTATTATATATGATGGGGAAATAGAAAACTTACGCATATTTCACTAATTTAGATACATAACTTGTAAGTTACACAAAAGAACTCATGTATTCCAATACCATATAGTGAGATACATACTATGTAAAAATATTTAATAATCAATTATTTCGCTATAATACCCTACATTAACATTTTTATTTTTCTATGGTTTAAAATTTTAATTTCAGGAGTGTATGTGGGGGTTGGTGTAAACCGGAAACAAACATCAGGACAATTGTGGTAACTACGGATAGGTAGAGTTGTTTTTGTTATTTACACTAAGTTCATGGCGTTTTTGTAATTTATTTACCCCGGTTAGTATACAACTTAAATTGATTTACTTGTATGACCATATGTTAAGTGAACTAACAACAAAAGTCCTTATATAAATAATAAATAGAAAAATAAAAATTAAGTGAACTTTTGATTAAATCAGTCGAATTTATTGTGATTTCAAAAAAGTAATATATAGAATAAATATTAAATTCTTATACACATTACAAATTAAATAATTATATTTCACAAATATTTATAACATGGAAATTAACAAAATAGATATATTTTATTATATATGATGTGAAAATATCAATTACGATTATATGATTTGAAAATTAAGAAATTATATATAGTGATGATTTGGAAAAAATCACAACGGCGATTTATAGGGATTTCATCTACACACATTTTCAAAATTTCTTTACAATTTCCAAGAAAAAAAAAATCTATTTATTGCTTGACGTTCGGTAGATAATAAAAGTAAAATGATATGTAAATAATTAAATAATAAATGACAACTTGTTATGCCATATGTCAAAAAATTAAATTGCCAAATGTCAAGTAATTGATGGTGAAATTCATCTTATGTAGATTATATCTTATATATAAAAGAAAAAAACGTTGGCCAACCCTAAAAATCTTAATGATTTTTTTCTAATTATTTATTTTTAATATTTTTTTTATCTACTAATTTTCTAACTATAATTTTCAACAATTATTAATCTCCTATTCTTCATCAATATATCTCAAATCTTAAGAGTTACATATAGAAATTCGATTTGTTAAATCTTAATATGAAACATTTATAATACTACATTATTAAATAAACTCCGTTACTATACTATATTATCTTATTATATATAAAATTGATTATTCTTTTTTACTTTAGAAATAATATCCCGTGCATGGCACGGGGAAAAATATGTTAGTATCAATTAAAGAAAATAGATTTTAGAGTTAAATACAGTTTACACTTTACACCCCTAATGTATACCTTATGTAATACTGACCACTATAAAGTATCATTTGTAACACTTACCCGCCTCAAGCTCAATTTAATTTATATTTTAAATTCTAATACTGAAAATTTTATTTTTTATGTAAAATTATAACTAAAAGAATAATTAAATTATATAAATAAAATATCTGTTTAAAAATGTAATATTTGAAAATTTAAAAATATTATCTTGGATTGTTGGGTACATATTTAATAAATAAAATCTAATTATTGGACCAATTAATCGAATATATTCATATCGATAAATTTGAACAATCAATACATAAATAATAGTAATCTTAAGTATTTAAATTTATTTTAGTTCATTAATTTCTTAAAATTTATTTTTATTTATTATTATACAATATATATTACTTTTTATTTTATTTTTCCGATAATTTAGTTGTAGTAACTTTTCAATTTTTTTTATCTAAAAATTATTAGATTGTTATGTTTATTATGTTTGAATTTTAAAATATAAAATATTTAATTTTTGAGGGCGTAAGTGTTTCAAATGATATGCAAAGTATATTTAGCCTTAAATTTTACGATATAATATTTAATCCATAATAAAAAAAAATGACGGGCAAAGTTGAATAAATAGATTATTATATTGTAAATTATTACACTAACATAGAAAATTATAAATATGAGATTAAATAAAACCAGTAAAATAAATGTTTGTATATACGTGATAACATGAACCAAAATCACCAACTGTAAGCAAATAAAATGTTTAACCGGTTAACAAACATGAAAATATATATTATGAAGATTACTAAATCTTTAAAAAATAGGAAGAAAAAAAAACTGGACAAAAACAATCAACAACTAAACGACGTTAAAATTACACGTAAAATATGTTAAAATAACTTTAATTTCGCAAATTTGAAATGTTATGTTTATGTATTATGAATATTCCAAAATATTTAAAAATTCGGAAGAAAAATAAAACTGAACAAAGTGAAGCAACAACCACTCCAAGCAACCAAATAAAAGAGACAATGGGTACTACCGGAATAAAATCTCCATCTAAATGGATATTATCTCATTACTAAACAAAATTAAGCACAATCTAATAATTATGACATGTTTTTTGATAATTTTTCTAAACCAATCAAATGGACACATGGGATGAAATTAATGACATGTCATCAATTTGAAATTGACAAATGTCAATCAATTAGGTGTGCAATTCAACTTTTATATATTATATAGATAACGAAATTAATTAAGAACTAAGCTCTCGAACGACGACTTACAAATTACAATAAACAACTAAATTCAGTAAACAAAAACTACTGAAACTATTACGAAAGTTAAAATCGCACACCAATTTACACACCAAAACCTTCAGCTAAAATGGGGTTATCTTTGTCCTTTTCTCCATCCTCATCCACATCCACGTCACATTTCTTTCCCAAAATACCCCTACCTTTTCCACCAATTTCCAGCCCTTGCAATCCATCAACGCAAGCCTCACCACCCTCCGGCAAACCGGGGCCCACCACCGCATCCACCTTCGCCTCCTCATCGCCGCTGCCTACCGCGACCTTATCTCCCGGCGCCTCCGTCAATCCGCCGCCTTTCTCGACGGCGCAGCCTTCAGAAGGACCGGCTACTCCGTCAGTTATTCCGACGAGGGTGTCGGAGGCGTCCTCCCATGGATCTTCGACGCATCCTTCGCCTTCGTCGTCGGATGCTGAGATGAACGATCTGACGGCGGACGCGGCCTTCAGAAACGCCTCTCTGATGGATTCCGGTGGCAGCGCGCAGTCTTCGAGGCCGGCGTCCTCCAGCCGCGGAGGCTTGATTTTATCGAGGAATGATTCAGCTTCTCCCGCAGCTTCCATAATCAGATTATCAGATTAATTCTTTCAGATCCCTAATTTCACAATTGATCGATCTGAAATGGGACTAAAGTGTTTCGAGAGTTTATTTGGCTGTGTTGCAGCTTAATAATGAGGAAGAACATTTCAGACAAAATTACCTTTTTGACCCCTAATAAAACTAAGGGCAAGGACGTGTTGCAGCAGCAGCTTAGGGGTGAATTTGTAAATGATCTTATGGAGTCGGTTGTTAACAAGAGGGTGTCGTTTCACCTTAGGCCATCTAATGCTATTGCAACCCCACTATTATGTCTAAATTGTAGTTTGGCCCCTAAAATAAACTTTTGCGTATCACATAAGTAGAAGGGTAAAATTACAATTACCTCCTGAGGTAAGGTCACATTAGGAAAAACACCCTAATGTTTGGGTAATTACAACTACTCATCAACTATGAAACTTCTTACATGTCCACCCATATGGTGTCAAATTCAACATAATCTTATATATTCCGGGAATGTGTATATACTCGTTTTGTGCAAAAAATGTTGTTTCTAATGCACCACAATCTGATATATATACAAGCCAAAAAACACATCTTTTGATCATTTTGCTTCAAAATGTGGAGCTTGAATGGGATCAAACGGGTACAAACTTGAGAATGTTCCATATAATCTAGAAGATTCCACTAAATTTGACACTGTAATAGTGGACGTGTAAGAAAATTTATAGTTGAGTGATGGTTGTAATTATCAAACATGAGAATTTTTTCATAATTTGACCTCACTTCAGGGGTGACCGTAATTTACTCAAGTAAAATAAGGGAAATAATACCACGGAATATTACAAATTGGAGGCACATAAAGATTATTTTTGTCTAATTAACCATAAAAACTTCATTAAGTCATTTTTTTTCCTCATTCACAAATTATCTTATGAAACAACACTAAATTAGCTATTATGCTAACTTATGGAGTTCTCGGGATGTACTCGAGATCATTTGTAAAACTATTTGAGTTTGATTTGTGTTCGGCTCTATTAAAGTTCGTTTATTACTTATCGAATCAAACTCAACCACAACTTAAAAATTTAAAATTCTAATTAAATTGAAGGGCAAATTACGGTCACCCCTGAAGTAAGGTCAAATTATGAAAATACCCTTCTTGTTTGCATAATTGTAGCCACCCCCTCAACTATGTATTATCTTACCAAAAGTCCCCCAGTTGGTAAATTTAGGGGTATTCATTCGATAAAAATTGTATCGAATTTTTGATATGCCGAAATTTCATACCCTTTAGCGTTCGGATCGGTAAAAAGCCGAATTACCGAAATTTTAATAAAAATATTTAAATATTGTTTTTTTTAGTTTAAAATACTAATATTACATATATCGGCATGTACCGAATTTTCGTTCGGTTCATAAACCAGATGAACACACATAGGTAAATTCAACACTGTGAGGGTGGACAAGTAAGACAATACATCGTTGAGGGGTGACTGTAATTGTTCAAAGAAGATGAGTGTTTTCGTAATTTAACCTTACATCAGAATTTGGCCGTAAATTGCCCTAAATTGAGTGAAATATGGGAGTATGGCAGCCGAAAGACGACAAAGAACATTCTTTACACAAATCCATAGAGCAAATGAGGCCCATGTTTATTTAAAAACTAATGATGATTGGTTAATTGTTGATAATTAATGAATAATTAATTGGCCCAATTATCACACAAGGCCCATTAATAAATAGCCCAATATCACTCAGTATCGAACCCTAAAACCCATCTTCTCTCACTTCATTTCACTTCCATCTTCATATAAACGCCCTTACGACGCCGCTTCTCCCCGGAAAAGAGAATCTAGGGTTTCTGCAAACTGATCTGCAATGGTAATTTTACTTTCTCTACTGTTGTAAATCTCGATCCGATCTTCGTTTATTTAGCTCAGTTCGTTTGATTTTTGTTTTTGTGTATGTATGTGTGTATGTATATGTGATGAGGGTGTATGTATAATGTATTGCAGGGCAAGGGAACAGGGAGTTTCGGAAAGAGGAGGAACAAGACACACACACTGTGTGTGAGGTGCGGCCGCCGCAGCTTTCACCTCCAGAAGAGCCGCTGCTCCGCCTGCGCGTACCCCGCTGCTCGCAAGAGGACATGTATGTCAATTCTTCCATTGTTGAACCTTCATTTTACCTGCGATTTTTCTTTTTTTGATCAACTTTCAGTATGCACAGCGCGTGAAAAGAAATGATTTTTATTTTTCTTTTTTATGATTAATGTTTGTTGATACAGATTTAAATTCTGTTGAATTCGAGCTGGTTAATTTATATTAAGTTTACTCATCAGATGGTTGTAGCTTAAAAGTTTGAAGTTAATTGCAATTATTAGACAATTTCCTGCTATTACTGTTTTGTGATCGGTTTGAATGTTTTTGTGTCAGATGACTGTGGATTAATTTTCAAGCTTATGTTTGAAATGGGTTGGGATTTTAATCAAGAGTATGAGCTATATTTTGTCGAAACTAAACCCTTAATATTACACAATTCTAGTGTACGATCAAGCCTATTATTGTATAATCACTAATACCCAAAGATAGGATAATCACAAATTACATTATTATGGATAATTTATTCAATTCTTGATATTATAAGTCTCGTCAGTTTTAATGTAGTGATTACTTTTTTTTTTTTGTTATGATGGTTTCTAATTGAATCACTCTATCTCATTTATTGCACTCTAGACAACTGGAGTGTGAAGGCAATTCGCCGAAAGACTACTGGAACTGGAAGGATGAGGTATCTGCGCAACGTGCCCCGCAGATTCAAGACCAACTTCAGAGAAGGTTTGAAATTTTTAATTGATTTGTTATGTTTCCCCGATAAATGTGATTTTAGTGTCGGACATCAAATATTTTTTTTTAGGTTTTCTGTTAATGTGACATCTATGTGTTCATGGACTCAGGTACCGAAGCTGCTCCAAGGAAGAAGGCAGCAGTTGCTTCTGCTTAAGTGTTCGTTGGAAGGTTCTTTTTTGGATGTATTTCTTTTATTTTCGTCTTGAGAGCATTAGTCAACAATTGAGTTTTCGAATAGCTATTGATTTTGTTTTTGTTATTTTAATATCATTTTAATACATATGGATGGAAGACCATTAATTACTTGATGTGCATTTTCCGGATTTTCATTTTGTTTCCCTACGTGCGGTAGCAATAATCTTATATATAACTGCTGTTATTTCCGTATGATCTTATCATAAAAAACTGTCCACCGCATTCCAACTGTTGAGTTAATTGTTAAACTCCTGACATTTAGTTTATTGATGACCGATAACAAGTGTTTGTTTAGGATATTTGTTTGTTTATTCATGCTAACTGAGTTTAGATTTTTCTATGTTACCCGACCTCTGTTTTGAGAATAGCATGGTCAAGGTGTTTATACATTGAATGTGTCTGGATGTAAGCATATTAGCTAGGTTGCAGAAATATTCAGCCTTGTCTTGATGAAATGCAAGCTTCGATTTTTCCCCATGGCTGGAAAATTGCTTCCAGTTGATGAAGTACGTTTAGATTGTTGTAATGTGATCTATGTACCTAATGAAAGAGCTTAGTTATTAAGTAAAGTCTATGTATGTGTTTAGTGTGGTTATTTTGTTGATTTGCTCGACGGAGTTTAGATTAAAATTAACTTCCGTTCCGTGTAGATTGTGAAGTGAGAGAGGTTAGCTTAGTTTTAAACTAAGTTAACCATCTGTTAGTTTCAAACTTAGTTTTATACATTTATTGGAGTTTGAGTAAATATGTATACCGAGTGAATGATTCAAATGATACATTAATTTATACCGTACAAAATGACAAAATGAACAAACAGACAGGATTACAGAAACATTACAATCAACCTTTTAAGTTCAAACAAAATTAAATCATGTAATGAGATCTCCTAATCTAGAACCAGATAACTTCAAAATAAACAAGGAAAGCAACAGGAGAGTAGTGAAATACACATTTATCCGAAACACATAAGCTAGTGATGTAACTAGTGAATCAAATCAAACACGTGATGATTCGAATTTGTTTTGAACATTTTTCGAGCTTTGAAAATCGTGTTTGAGTTTGGTTTGATAAGCAATCAATTCAATCTCAAACGAGTTTTAATTGAGCCTAACACAAATCAATCGAACTCGAGTAACTTGAACTTACTCGAACTTCTGTAAATGTTTTGCCATTTTGTTTCTAACCGGGATCAAGATCGAGCAGAACTTAACAGGTTATTGAACGAAAATATGCATTCAAACTCAAACAAGCTCGATTTTCAGGCCGATAACGCTAATCTTTTAAGTCACAAAGTCATCCACTTCATAAACAAAATAAAACCGAAGGAAATTCACCGAAGATGAGCTTCGTATCTTGCTAAAATATTCAAAATTTCCTACAAAATATCTGATTTTCTCATACAATGTTTTATACAACAACCATACATTCTTATTCCGATTCCTCAGCTACCATTAAGCTCTTATTTCTCGGTATCAATTATCAAATACATCATCATTTCATCATACTCCAAAAAAAAAAAAAAACAAGAAAGATCGAAAGAAAACAATACAAGAACTCACTCACAGCAAAACCGAATCAATCAGTAAGAACTTCCTCCAGCAGCACCAAACTGCTCATCAACATTCAATCCCGCCATAGCCTCCTCCAAACCGGAGCTCGCCTGAGCCAATTCCAACGGGTCGTTATAATTTCTAACAGCCTGAACAATCGCACGAACCTTCTTATACGGGTCCAAACAATCGAAAACCTCAGACTCCAAGAAAACCCCATCGCACCCTAACTGCATCATGAGTGCTGCATCAGCAGGGGTGGAGATTCCTCCGGCGGCAAAATGCACCACCGGCAGCCGCCCCATCTGCTTCGTCTGAGCAACAATGTCGTATGGGGCCCTGATACGTTTCGAGAAGGCGAAAACCTCGTCATCGTCCATGTTGTTCAGAACCCTAATCTCGCCCATCACTTTCCTCACGCTTCGAACAGTCTGGACAATGTCGCCGGATCGGGATAGATCCCCCTGAGTTCTAATCAGAGCTGCTCCCTCGCGAACCCTAATTAGGGCTTCCCCCAAATCGCGGCAGCCGCAGACGAAGGCGACGCCGAAGTTGTGCTTGTTGATGAAGTGGTCCTCGTCGGCGAAGGCGAGGGCTTCGCTCTCGTCGATGTAGTCGACGCCGATGGATTCGAGGATCTGCGCCTCGACGAAGTGCCCGACCCGGGATTTGGCCATCACAGGTATGGTTACGGCCCGCTTGATCTCCTTGATGAGTGACGGGTCGGGCATGCGGGAGATCCCGGGTTTCCGCGGATCCGAGACGACGACGCAGCAGGCGCCGGCGGATTCGGCGATCCTGGCCTGATCTAGGGTTGTGACCTCGACGATGGCGCCGCCGCGGAGCATCTGGGCCATGGCGACTTTGATTGAGAACGGATTCTTTTTGGCGGCGTCGGTGATCGCCGGGTTGCTGTTGTACAGCGTGACGGCATTGTCGTCGGCCATTTCTGAAAGTGTTAGCCGGAACCCTAGCACTGAAAAATCGAATCGAAATTGGAAATTGGAAATTGGAAATTGGAGAAATTGAATTGATTAAGGTGGTGATTGGGGAATGGGGAGGAGGTATATAGAAAATGATGGCGGTGGAGTTTGGTGGGTTCGAGAAAATGGTGGTGGAAATTGGAAAAGTGTAGAATGTTCTGTGATTTTCCGGTGGAAGAATCGGACCGGAAATTAAATTACTGGTTTGGATCTGGGATTTGGATTTGGATTTGTTTTTTCATAGTTATTACCGTTAGTTTTTTTTTTGGGCGAATTGCATAGAAGTACAACAAATGCCCTTAATTGAAAAAAAGCCGTGCTACTTTTATATTTTGCAAATAAACCCACAACTTACAAAAGTCTTGTTAATAAAGGCAATGAATTTATTTCTTTTCCCGATTTGCCCCGGTATATAACGTGAACATTAGAATACCTTCAATTCTTTTTCTCATTTTTCTTTGAATGCTCCTCCATCTATTTCTTGTGCCACACCGTTGGTCATCTCGGCTGTCGTCACCGGTCATCTCTGATTTAGCGTTTATGTTAATTTGTTTTTCCGTTTTTCTATCACAACTAACTTAGTTATTCACATCCTCTTTTGGGCGAGGTTTTGGCCCATCCCGATTATCTTGATCTATTATAGCGGGCTCTTAGTCCACTTTAATTCTCGAGGTCCGTCGAGCGAACTTTGCAGGCCACTCTACGCCCTTCACCTTATGGGGCTTCCAGCCCGTTATGCTGAGAAGGTGGTGGTACGGCCCACCGTCGAACTGACCCATCACCGATGAACATATTAGAAAGACAACAAACTCAACTCTTCAATAATTCTATGACGAATCGCTTAAACTTCATTAGTATTTATATGAATAGATACCTAACAAAAGTGATTTGGTACACGAAGGAAGTATACAATAAATTGAGATGTTGAACATAGTACTACTTTGACTGATAACGTTATAAATAGATGTGGCCCCATAAGTTGAAAAGATGGCACATATTTCAGTAATTAATGGAAATTTGGATGATATTTATTAAACTTCGCCTTTATGTATATTTTACACACTAGTTATCACACATGGTCTGAATACGAGCAGAGGTTGACTGTTTTGACGAACTCGAGCTCGATCATCAGAAAGTGTAGACTAAAAAAATTTGAGTTCGAACTTTTGTCGAGGCGACTCACCTTATACACATCTAACCACAAATCAATTTGTGATTTGTGTAAATCATAAGGTGAAAAGTGAAAACCTATGCGATCTTAAAATTGATGGATGTTTGACTAATATCTGCTTAATGAGTCATTAAAGAAAAAAATCTTGAGTTTAAACAATTAAAAATGAATATATAAAACTGATAAACTTGTAATTAACACCTAAACAAAGGGATAACCAGCGAGGCAGTAAACGACAAAATCCCCATCATGTGAAACGACATGGGACGAAGAACAACTGCATCCTCTTATTTCAAAATTTAAGGTGGGCCCCACTTCACCGTCACCGATCCTCAACCAATCAAACATTCAAAAACTCATCTGCATTTATTTAAGTATTTTGCTATTTAAAAACAAAAACCACCTAATTAATTATTAATTAACCTAACTACGTCAAAATCAAACATTTTTAAGAATGAAAATTCGAACAATATTTTTCACTCGAATTCCGATTTTTTTAATTCAATTGGAATAGTTCATTTTTCGATTTGATTTTAATTTCCGAAAATAATTTGAAAAGTTTCCTAGAATTAAATTTATAGCGCAAATTACGGCTACCCCTGAGCTATGGTTAAATTACGAAAACTCATCTTCTGTTTGCGTAATTACAGTCAACCCTCAACCATGCATTATCTTACAAAAAAACCCTAAAGAGGTAAATTTAAGAATGTTAAATCGGTAAAATCGAATTGAAATTTTTCAGTACGCCAACATTTTATACTGTTTACCGAACTGAATATACGATTTAGTTCGGTAAATAACCGAATTACATAAATTTTATATAAAACAATTAAAAAGACGTGGTGGATGTAATTACCCAAACAAAATGATTTTTTCATAATTTGATCATACCTCAGAGGTTGACGTAATTTGCCAAAACTTATATTATCAGTATTATTATGTATTTTATTATATAAATAAATAAATAAATAAAATGATTTGAATCTCGTGGATTTTTGAATCAGAAACATCCAATTTTGAAACATGTTTTTTCAATTCAATTTTCAATAATTCCAAAATTGAAATTATGATTCATTTTTAATTTTTGAAAGTGTTAATTTAGACCCCCAATTTTTTTCGAAAGTGTTAAATTAGCACCCAATTTTCTTTTACTCCACCTCCGCAGTCATTTTTACTTTTACCCTTTTTACCATGGCCCACCACACCGTCAAATGAAGCTCTTCAGTCGTTTTCATCTTCTTTTTACTGCATTTTTGGAAGTAAAATCCAATCACAGCCGTTGAAATTCAAAGCTTCTCTCTCTCCTACCAAACAAGTCTTCACATTTTTCTTAATCTCCATTAGAGCACTCTCTCTCTCTAAACAAATACACATTGCATTCCCCTCTGCTACAACTGCAATCCTTCAATAGATTCATTATCTGATACTATTGATTATAGAAACAGTTGCAATTGACTGATTGAGAGGAATATATATATATATATATATATATTTTTTTTTTTTTTTTCAGTTTGTGTTTAATTTTTTGTGGTTGGTGGGAAAATGAATGCGGTGGGGAGGCAAAAATCCGGTGCACCGGCGGCGAATCATCACCGCCAAAAGTGCGATAATTTTCCAGAAGCTTCATCGAGTGGGAGATGGCTGCAATCAGCTGGCTTGCAGCACCTACAGTCGTCAAACAATGCGGTTCCTCCAGTTCAGGTACAATTTTTTTCTCCACTTCAGTTGAAATTCAACCTACGTAGATCCGATGCTATTGTCAAAACCCCCAATTTTGATTTCTCCAACATTTATAAACAAAAAAAAATTAGGATTTTGGGTACTACAATGGAGGTGGTCAGGGTTCGAGAATGTATCGGAGTGTGCAGCCGCAGAGGACCAACAGCGGCGGCAGCGATTTATTTGCCGAGCCATTAACGCCGCCAGGAATTTCCAGGCGGCGGAATGGGGAAGAGCAAGTTCCGCCTAATGAGAGTAGCCCTGGTCTGTTGGATCTGCACTCTATTGATACTGAGCTACTTTCTGAGGTAATCCTTTTGAGTTGATTCATGGATTTAGTTTGTATTGTGTTTGATGATTTGCCTAACTGAATTTGTATGTATTTATATTTTTTTTTCTTCCTGTAATCCATTTCTTGCTGTTATTGGGGGTGTGATTGCTGAGAATAGATGTCGATTCCTGGTCTTTATGATGGACCTCCAATGAATCATTTTTCACGGGAAAGAAGCTTCGATGATGTTGACCCGTACTTTGGGAACAATAAACAAAACGGCAAAGTTCGTGGCTTGCCTGAGAGCAATGTTCTGAAAAGCATTGCTGCTGATAATGTGAAGGCCAGCAATGTTGCAAAGATCAAAGTAGTGGTACGTTTATTCTGCCTTTTTCATGTTATTATTTTGATAACTTCATTGCATGCCTTTTCTAACTAACCGACTGTTGTTAGCAATAATAATAATAGTTCATTGGTAGTTTGAGAAATATATGTAGAGTGTAATGATGTGCAGCGAGTGAAGAAATTATTCCTTCCCCAACCATCTGTTGCATCTACTAGATTAACCAGTTTATATGTACTTTGTTATTTTCCTTTCGATTTGCTGATGATTAATTTTTTTTTGCAGGTGCGGAAAAGACCACTAAACAAAAAGGAACTGACGAAGAATGAGGAAGATATCATAGACACCTATTCAAATTCCGTCCTAGTCCATGAGACAAAACTTAAGGTCGGTAATTGTTTTGAGATGTTCTGCCGATTTGTAGATAAACTGATAGGAACTAATAGCAGCCCCTCTCCTTGTTTCTTTCCGCAGTTATTAGCTTTCTTGAAGCTATGTTTCTGTAGTTGTATAATACAAGTAAAGTTGTTGTCTGATAATTTTGACCTATTGTTTTAAGGTGTATATATAGAGAGAGTTTTTGCTTCTAGACATATGCTTTCTGCCATATATGATTTGGTCAACACTTTGCCATACTCACTGTTAGCTTTTTCTCATGAGTTATTTTTTTTAAGGGTGATGTACTATATAACGAGCTTCATTCCCTAAGGACAGTGTTCTATGTCGAAAATCAAATAGACTTGATAATGCTTACTGTCTATTAAAATGCTCTGATTTTGTTTGTGAGGTATTCAGTATATTTGGTTCTTTAATCTGTTGCAGGTTGACCTTACAGAATATGTGGAGAAACATGAATTTGTGTTTGATGCTGTGCTTAACGACGAAGTTTCAAACGATGAGGTAATTGCAGCTCAAATGTTAACCTCATACCAAAGTGATGAAAATGTTGTACTCATGGTAGCCCTTGATGTTTCCTTAACTATGGTCCGTATCTTATTTTTCTAGGTGTATCGTGAAACTGTAGAGCCTATTGTTCCGATAATTTTCCAACGTACAAAAGCTACTTGCTTCGCTTATGGGCAAACAGGTAATGAATTGCATGTATTTTTGTTTTAGTTTCATTTCGACGGTTTTTGAACTTTCACCTCATACATTAATACGAAGTTCCCTTAATGAAAACTGTTAAGGAAGTAGTGAAATTGATTGAGCAATAAATTAAAAAAAAAATGTATGTTATCTTGAGGTGATATTTAACACACCATTATTGTATTCATGACCTCTTTTAAGAGTAACCATCTGATTCTTTACTTCTTGTTATTTTTTAATTTTTTTTTACTTTCTTTTCTCTTGTTATCCTCAAATTCTCTTGTATCTGGAAACTAATCAGGAAGTGGAAAGACTTACACTATGAAGCCATTACCACTTAAAGCAGTGAGAGATATCCTAAGGCTCATGCATCACACTTACAGGAACCAAGGTTTTCAATTGTTCGTTAGCTTCTTCGAGATATATGGTGGAAAACTCTATGATCTTCTCAACGATCGAAAGTAAGCTTTTTTCCTCGCTGCCTTCGTAGTTAAAATATTTCCTCGCAGTAACATAATTTCAACGAGATTTCATTCTTCTTTCTACTTGCAGAAAACTTTGTATGAGAGAGGATGGCAAACAGCAAGTTTGTATTGTAGGTTTGCAAGAGTACCGAGTAGTGGATGTGGAGATAATTAAGGAACTAATTGAGAGAGGAAATGCATCAAGAAGTACAGGCACCACGGGAGCAAATGAGGAGTCTTCTCGTTCGCACGCCATTCTTCAGCTCAATATTAAGAGATCGGCCGATGGCAGTGAATCCAAACCTGCACGAGTTGTTGGTAAACTCTCCTTCATAGACCTTGCTGGGAGTGAACGTGGTGCAGATACTACCGATAATGATAAACAGACCAGGTATATAGATTATATCTATTATGTAGCTTCTTGTTGTTGAGTAAATCACCCGTTTTGGGTATATAGTAACAAATTGGGAAAAGAAGTAATGTGTGTTTGTATTTTGAGAGACGACAATTTACACTATAGCAGTCAAGTTATGTCTAAAGATGTTAAGATAAGATATTTTGTAAGGCAAATTTGAAAATCAAAATGTTGTTTGTTTGTAGTTTAGTGAAAACATTTATTACTGAAACAGTCAAAGCAATTACATAGAGAGAAACTTTTGATCATCTCTTCCTATATTATAGCAGTCTATTGCTCGTTCATTTTTTTCCATTTTATATCGAATGTTTTGAATATGCAGAATGGAAGGAGCCGAGATCAATAAAAGTTTGCTGGCATTGAAGGAATGCATTAGAGCGCTCGACAACGACCAAGGGCACATTCCATTTAGAGGCAGTAAATTAACTGAAGTTTTGAGGGATTCATTTGTTGGAAATTCTCGAACAGTAATGATCTCCTGTATTTCACCAAACTCTGGATCCTGTGAGCACACTTTAAACACTTTAAGATATGCCGACAGGTTGGTCTCGTTTTTTCACGGATAGTTATATCAGTCAGAAAACAGTTCTTTCCTTTCAACCTCTTTTTTGTTTTTGCATTATAGGGTTAAGAGCTTATCGAAAGGCAATAACTCCAGAAAAGAGGTTTCATCTTCAACTTCGATTATGAAGGAGTCGACTATACAAACTGATACAGGCGATTCATGGCCTGAGCAAACTGATAGGGAAGAATACGACGAGTATTTCTATGAGCAAGAGAAGCCATCTTTGAGGAACACCTCAAAAATTGAATCGTACAACTTCCGTAATTTGGATGACAAAGCGAAGAAAACCAATGGCCAATCAAAGTGGAAGGAGCCTCCTAAATCAGAACTGAAATATTCGAATTCCAACGATGATTTGACTGCTTTATTGAAGGTAAAAAACAAGAAGTCACTCTAATTAGAAATATATATATATATATATATATATATATATATAAATAATCCATGTTGAAATGTTTTGTGCTCATATAGGAAGAAGAAGATCTTGTCCATGCTCATCGAAAACAGGTGGAGGAGACAATGGATATGTTCGAGAGGTTTTTACTTAATCCCTTTTACTTTCCTATACACTTTTTCAATTATTCAAAAAATCGATTATATTATTATTATTATTTTATTTTTTTCCATTGGCTCGTTTTAGGAGATGAATCTGTTGGTTGAGGCGGATCAACCGGGTAATCAGCTAGACGATTACATCTCCAAATTGAGCTCAATTCTATCCCAGAAGGCTGATGGTATCTTACAGCTTCAAAATCGATTGGCCCGTTTTCAAAACCGCTTGAAGGAGCACAATGTTCTAGAATCTTCTGGCTATTAAACTTCCAAGGTTCGACATTAATTATATTATATTTTGCACATAGACAGTTGTGAATTGTGATTCAGCCCTTTCAAGGATCTTCATTATCTTCTTTGCCCATGTTCTAGCATAGTTGTATTAATTATATTATACATTGTTTTCATTTATTTGTTAATGGAATGCAGTTTGTTCATCTTTGTAAAAAAAAATAATTAAAATACTTATTTATTATTGTTTTCCTTCAATTTAATGAATATCCTCTTCTTGCCAATTTCTCTCTCTCAAAAAAAAAAAAAAAAAAAAACCCTTAATCCTCCAACACAATTTCCAGTCCGAATATTCCTCAGAAATCATCCTTGTTGTTGGGAACTATGCATCTGAGAGCAGTCTCATAAGCAGTAAAAATAGCTCCATTGACAATAAAAGCCCTCATGACAGCAGTCCCTAGACCCCTCCACAGCACATTATACCCTTCCTCTCTCACACTCCTCCTAAAGCAATCGACAATCCCCGTATATAAATCCGACCGCCCTTGTATCCTTGTCTTCACCACATCCAACGGGTAACAGCATATCCAGCTGGCGACTCCGGCGAGCCCTCCGGCGAGAAGCATCGTCCGGAAAGATTCTTGCCCGTTTTTCCGGCAACCCGGGTGGAGGCTCTCCCTCGTGTACTCGTACGTCCAAAAGTATACTGCGTGCGCAGGTGCGTCTCTCAGTACGGTGATGCCTAGCCCGCGGTATATTCCTCTCAACCCTTCGGATCGGAATATGCTTCTGGCGACGTCTAGTGGACCCTTGTGGGTGGTGGTGCCGCCGCCGCTACCGTATGATTGGTTGGTGGTGATGGGTTTGGTTTGTAGTTGGAGGCGGATTTTGATTAGCTCGACGGGGCAGAGAAGTAGGGTTTGGATTGCGCCTGTGCCGAATCCGCCTAGGGCGACTCCTTTGTATGAGGGGGGATCGTTTGATGAGGTGGCGTTTGTGCCGAATGCTCGTGATAGTATTGCGTATGTTTGGAAAGCTATTGCATTCTGCGGAATCAAGAATGGAAATTTATAAGAAATGAAGCTCATCTCGAGCTTGAGCTTGCAGTTAGTATCCCTGTGTTATACTGAATTGCTGAAAAACTCATCGTGTTATAACTATTAGCAAAAAGTTCCATACGATGCATTTTTTTAGCACTTAACCCCCTAAGTGCTGCGTTTTAAGGGTTGGTTTGCTAATAAAACTTACTCGTACGGTAGTTTTTGCTAATATTTATAAGATACATGGGCGCTAAATGTGACGAACCCAACAAAAATGACACGATATGTGTAAAATACTATCAAACTACTCGAGCTTAAATTTGCGTGTTGAGCTCGGTTCGACCGATGATCCGACCAAGTCGAAACCTAGTATTTGACGAATCGCATGTTTTGATCGACTCTAACCATATAATCGAATGCAATTATCATGAAATATCCATATAATAAAATGCAATTATCATGAAATATCCATATAATAGAATGCAATTATTTCATTCTAAATTTAGTCCAATTACTGAGTCTGGGATTTCCTATTTCTGCAAAATAACCACTCTCCACCAAAAAAAAATAAAAAAATAAAAAATTCTCAAAACATAAATATTTATCTAAGTTCAACCACTCTCCACCATAAAATTCTAAGTTCTTGATTTATTTATCAACACTTTGCAAATTAATTTCAAGAAAAAAAAATTACCTGGAAAGTGACAGAAGCAATAGGAGCGGCCATGCCCCTATAGAGTGCAAAGGGTCCCTCGGTGGCCACAACACGGCGGAGAATTTGATAAGCCGCCGCCCCTCCTCCGGTGGAATTCTGCTGCCGTATTCTGACGGTATCCAGCGGATAACCGGCCATAACACCGGCGGTGCCGCCGAACCCTCCGGCGACAAACTCTCTTCCCCAACTGCTCGCAAGAAACTCCGGCCAGAATTCCATTTCTTAAACAAATAATCAATCACCCGATCCCACTCTCATTCCCAAACACACGCGCGCGCAATTTTCGGGATAGATTAAAATTACCAGTTTACCACCTTTAATTTGGTGATGTAGCTCACGGGTTTATTTATTGTAAGAGTGGCAGAGCGCATTGGAATTTGCCCATACATAAAACTTTGTTTTGGTAGGCTTTTTGTTGTGACGTCAGAAAGTTGTTTTAATTTTTCTTTTTGGAATTATCCAGATAATCTGATTTTCTAAATAGATTTTTATATTCAGGGATCTACTGGAATTTGGAATTAAATTCTAATAAACCGGATCCTCATTTACAGTATAAATCGGATGCCATTGATGATGACACGGGAGCCGTTTATGAAAATCGGATTCGTATTCTCTCTTTGACTTTGACTGTTTAAGAGTTTTTATATAATTATATTCTCTTTTTTTTTTTTTAAATCTTAAATATGGATGGCAATTTGACCCGCCCAGATGGATTCCCGCTTCGCCCCGCCCCGAAAAAAATTGGGGCGGGTATGGTGATTGAATTTTTCTTTTGACCGGGTACGGGTATGGGGACGGTTTTGCTTATACCTGCCCCGTACCCGTCCCCGCATTATTTATATATATATAATATATATATTTATTAATTATTATATTAAATATAAATAATTATATAGAAGTAATATATTAAATATTAGCTAAAAATGGGAATTTTTAGGTTTCGATTATATAATTAAATATTAGTATTATAATTAAATATTGATCTATTTGTTAAATAAACCTTCAAATTATATGTAAATTACATATTTTTTATTAAAAAAAGAAGAAAAAAAACAGACGGGATTTTTACCCGCCCCGATACCCGTGGGGATTTTATGGGGCGGGTATGGGGATTCTTTTTATAAAATTCGAGGATTTTGACGGGATGGGGATGGGGATTTCCATAACGGGGCGGGGATGGGATTGCAAAACCCACCCCATTGCCATCTCTAATCTTAAATGACATAAGATTTATGATTTTTTGAAGTGTAGGCAATTTCGAGTTTTTACTTAAAACAGGTGTTGGATAATTTTTGGGTGGAGACGTGTTTCTATTTTTTCATTATTACTATAATCGTCCTCGGAACTTTTAAATATTTATGAAAACGGCCCCGAAACATTTCCGACAGAAGTCGTGACGTTTCGATTTTCGAAACACGAAAATGCATGTGTGTAGAAGTTTTCGTGCATCATAGATTGTTTCTATTGAGATAAGCAAGTCATGACAATGCAAAGATAAAATATATCCAAGGTTGTTTAGTTATGTAGCATAGAACAACATACATTTGTTATACATTTGGCTCCCGCAAGAAGAGAAGACGACTCGCCGTTCGCCTCTCGATTTTCCCATTGTGAGTTTTCTTCTCTCTTTACCTGTCATTTTCAATTGTTCACTTGGAACTTTCGTCGAACACTTATGCGCTATTGTTGGTGTTCATGTTGTCTGTATATTTGTTTTAAATTTGGTTACAGCTTGATAATTTTTACTACTGTCGAAACTTCGTATTACAATTGTGTCGATTTCTATTTTCAATAATTATCACGGGCTTCAAACTTCTATTCAATTTATTAATTGTCATGCATTCTTGACATTTTTAGCTGTGTTATATTGATAACCTCATCTTGACTAGGGGTGGAATTGGGACGGACTTTCAGATTTTTTGCCGATTCCAGTTCATAATCTTTCGATTTTGGAACAATGCTTTTCATTCATAACTCCAAATTTCCATATCCGATCCGGTTCCTACTTCCGGAAACTAATTCCAAAATTTTCAATTTGGTCTCCTAAACATTTACACTTGCAATATCGAAATTAGCATGCACTCTGTATTATAATTTATAGGTGAATACAAAAACAGAATTTCTCGGATTCTGCCAATTCGAGTCGGAAAAAATTTCAACTTCAGAACACTTTTTTTCAATCCAATTTCCGATTCTCGGTTTTATTTTTTGGTCAATATTTAGGGTCGAAACCAGACAAATAGGAATTAGCATTTTCTCAAGTGAAAAATTACTTCAACTCTGTCGAAATCTGCTAGATTTCGACCCTAAATCTTTGATCAAAAAATAAAATAAAAACATCATCAAGGAGCCATTTCTAGTTAATATATCACTCAGTGCTTCGACACTGACCTGCCATAGGCTTCTCCAAACCATAAATAAACTTACTAAAAGTCAGGAAAAACTCAACCTTCAATCGCACAGCAAGATAAAATATTTCAGGTAAGGAAAATATCATTGGTCCATTAAAATGGAATACATATTTTGCATAGAAAAGCACCCGAAAAAAGTTTGACAGTCATCAGCCATCAAATAAGAACAAGCTAATAGGTTCGAAAGATTCGATAATAGAGGTTAAAATACAACACAATGCCGAAAAACATTTGCATTGAGCCAATAGGTTTTCTTTTAGCAGGGCTCATTTTTTGCCACTTTTCTTCAAACCCGAACCTCCAAACGATCCCTTCTGCTGAGCTTTAGCCTTGAGCTCCTTCAGCGCCTGCGGAGAATAAGAACATCGCGAATATATAGGTCAGAAGGAACGTAAATCAAAGCAGTATGATTATTGAAAGAGCAGTTCTCTGAGAAAAAAAAAGAGTTTTCGTACCTTTTCTTCTTCCTTCTTCTTTTGAATATTAGCCATGTCAACCTGCAAAAATCGACATAATTTAAAAAAAAATAACAGAAAAACTACCAAGGAATGGGTATAATGTTTTAGTTTTCTAATTTGTCCAGCTAAATATCGGATTTGATTCGAGGAAAAACAGTGAGAATGATTTCAATTGCTTGTTTTTTCTACACATTCAATTTTGCCATCTTCTAACGAAAGGGATCAAATGAGAATAGAACAAATTATCTTAAACACTAGGCAATAGCAATCAGTATATTTTACGAGCATCTAGGGTTTCGAGATTAAGAACAATTATAGAACGCGGCTGCAAAATACATAAAACCGTAATCTTTAGCATCAACTTCTTTCTATCTAAAGTTCAAACCGGAAAACACAATCGGAGGATTAAATCACTCATACTGTAAGTCACAATTCAAACCATCAATTTGAAAGGGATACATATTATTTAAATAAATACCCATTCTAAATCGAACAATTAAATTGAAGATCGGATGAACCCGAATTGATTTTAACAATTAAACTAAACCCAAGCAACGAACCCTAATTTGAATCAAAATTCCCCAAAATTGCAAGTAAAATAAAGCGCTGGGAAACCAATTGCAGAGTTAATAATACCTCGTCGTATTCTTTACTGGCGGCCTTGGGTTGCTTCAAAGGCTTTGCTTTTCCTCCTGTTTGAAAAAACACGAAAAAAATTACAGAACGAAGAAATCAAAAACAAAAATATCAAAAATTACAGAACGAAGAAATCAAAAACTGGAAGAAGACGATTCGTAAAGAAAAAACATAGCCGAATATTAGATTTGTTAATACCTTGTTTGCTTGACATGGTTGGATTAGATTCTAGGGTTAGGGTTTAGCTGCAATCACCAAATAGCGCAAGGTAGAAATCGATGAAGAAGAATGTCACAATTCACACAAATCGCGGATTTAAAGGGGAGGAATTTCTACACTTTAATTCAGGGGCCGACATTGTGGTTCAATTGTAATTATATGAATACCTAAGGGCATATCCCAACATGTGTTTTGATATTTTAACCTTTTTCAATCAACCAAAATATCCACACAAAAGAATAAAAATAAGGGTAAATTACAAACACCCCCTGAGGTATGGTCAAATTACAAAAAAACCCCTCTTGTTTGGATAATTACATCTACCCCCCTCAACTATGATTTTTTCTTACACATCCACCCTTATGGTGCCAAATTCAACATAATCATCTAGATTCCGTGAAATGTGCTCTAGTTTGTACTCGTTTTGTGTAAAAATACAGTTTCCAATGCACCACAAACTGATATATACAAGTTAAAAATCACATATTATGATCATCTTGCTTCATAATGTAGAGTTTGAATGGGTTCTTCTCGTGTATGGTGGCATATACTTCATAATTCTT